CTGAATAAATATAGTATTATAACAATAACAAAACAATCATGACTATGGGCGATACAGTGACATCCATTTTCATTTATAATTTATTCAATTATTGCATTACTACAATTCGACAATCATCATGGATGCCAAGGTGTAAAGTTCTCGTTCCTTAAAATAAGTGGACTGAAATGGGACTTTAAAAACTGTTCCACTTCTAAGGTGTTACGCTTCAAGAGGTTTCACTTAGCAGGTTCTACTGTAAAGTGTACATATCATTAAATGGTAATGTATTCAAACCTAGGCAGAAACAAAATGTACGCACACACAGTGACCATTTAATTGACTGAATCAGTGAACGGTGATGTACATGTTTATTTTGGATATATATATTTTGCGAGAAACCCCATTTTCTTCTCTTGAAAAGCATTATATGAAAAGGGCGCATGGTTTGCTGAAACTCACGCTATAGGCTGATCCATTCGTTTCTGTGTTAGAATATTTATTCCATGTTATTTAAGAGGAAACGTGAATTTCATCTTGCCTAAATGGAAGCCCAAGACCCTACCTAAGTATTAAAAATTAAAGAGAGTAAAGATGTTCTATCGTTTTTGATATTTTAAAGCTTTTTAAATAAAATAACACATATCAAATCGTATTTATATCTTTACATCGTAAAATCAATAACATTTACGAAAAATGGTCAAACTGATATATATTTCTCAAAGCATATGGGTGTTCTGGTGCCTACAAAACCTGATTGAATCACCAGTAGTCTGTAATATAAACGCAAATAAATCTTTTAAAAATAACCGTTACAAAATATTTGAATTTTGCGCATCTTGTCGAGTCTTTGATCACTCACTTTTAATAGTAGACGATCACTGTACATACAGTGTAGATAGCAAGTACATGCTGTTTGAAAATAACTGTAACTTGGGGAATACTTCAGGACAATACAAGGCATTAATATGCAAAATATCACAACCTGTCATCTGTTACAGATGTCAAACATCGATTGTCAAACACCAATTGCCAGACATCAACCACCACCACAAAAAAGTTGAACAATGAAGACACCCCTTCTGGTGGTACCATAATATAAATGGACTTTAATTATTATTCAAGAAAATTACAGTACAATCCACAAAAATGAAAAAGCTCACCAATCCAGATTCATTTTTTCAAAAATAAATCCAATACACTCTACCTTGCATTGAAACAAACAGAAATTGGGATTAATCTTAAATTCTTAAAGTCCTGTGAAACTGACAAAATCCCAAATATACACTTTTCAAGGTACTGAAAATTGTTCCACCTACAAAGGTTTCACTGTGTGCCCTCACTTTCACAAGTCTAATTGTTTTACAGTTGAATTTTACAAGAAACAATCAAAACAGGTACATGTACATGTTGCATACATCCATCGTGTTCTTTTATTTTTCTTCCAAGTTATCATGGAAATGAGAAAAAGTTTTCCATTATTGAAAGGATTTACTTAGAATTAATTAAGAGACGCACGGCATTGCAATTCTGTTTGCATTTCTCTCATTGCCCTATCAGTAATTACCTACTCTGGCAAATGATTCATCTGGAAACATTATAGTATTATTTCATTTATTTTATCAGTGAAGAGTTACATTAGATCTTGTATTTGTCTTATCTGCTAAAGTTTGAAGTATACATTTCCTGCACCGTAAATATATTAGCTTAACACTTGAACATGTTTTTAAGATTTGCTCGGTTTCTTATCCCGAGGGAAGGTATATATTAGAAGGGGAAGAACAACCAGGAGATCTGTTATCTGATTTAGGCATGTCTACAAATGAATAATATCATACTTTTCAAAGATCTCCTCAGCACTGGAGCAGCTACTGTAGGTGTTGCTGCAGTTGCACCTTATTGAAAATTATATGCCATCCAGTTGGGAATCTGTTTGTACAGGGTCAAAATGATAAAATATTGAAGTGTTCAGATTAAAACATGTAAAATTAAAATTAAACATCTTCAAGAAAAAACCTTGAAGAGATTGATGCCATTACATGAATAGCTCATTGGCTCATATACTCTGCACTCTAACTGTGACTGATTTCTATAGTTTGGCATGTCACCAATCTGAGACCATCACAGAAACTCAATTTTATGTTTTGATCAAGGTTTATCAATAATTTGAAAAGTGTACGTAATGAAGCAAGTCAATGACTCAATGGAGCTCATTGTCCTTCAAGAAAATGTTTTTCAAAATGATAATTAATCTGATGAGCAAAATGAGATTACATGAGATCTACAATATTTGTCAGGCTGAAGCCCTTAGGAGAATTAGAAAATCTTATCAAAAGTTTCTTTTCATCCTTTAATTTGACTGTGAATGGGGAGAGCATTGTAAACTGTCCAGACTCTTGTCTCATATATTGAATGTAATGTCCTAGCTGTACTGATTAAGGTCAGACTGTTCATATTAGAGACATTAACAACACTGAATCATACTTTCCAGATTGAAAATGAAATGCAATACAATTTTACATGACTCTGAATCATTCTTAAAATTAGCTCTATAAACCAGGAAATGTTAACACATTTGTGTATAAATATATCTCATAAGAAAAGGGCATTTCTATTTCAATAAACCAAATGACAAAATGATCTCGTAATAGTAATACTGAAATCCTCTTGTCTAATAGTGAACGACAATAAGCATAAAAGAGATTGCCTACTTCAAGTGAGAATAGACTATGTGCGTCACAAGAGCATTAGTAAAATAGAAAAATAGATAAATACTGTATTCCTTCAGGAATTTCCATCTATTATCCCCACTGGTTTAATGAAAATGAAGATTCGATTTCTGACCTTTAGCATATTGAAATAACTCCAGTCAGTTGCTCAGTTGATAGAGATCAATAGCTGATACAGTAATGTAAATAATATAGTCATTATAGGACTATGAAGTTTAGTCTATTATTAACTGGATACTTTGCATGGGTTGGTACACCCACTTGGGGATCTCTGATTCCATGGTCAAAGGCCGCGCATCTTGGGGGTCCGGGGGTCTGTTTCCCTTGGACATTTTTTTATAAGACGTTATTTGATGCAATCTGATCATTTTTTGTCAACTTGAAAGTTCTATTCTGATAAAACTTAATGGTTAAATATACAAAATACAGAATCATCAATAAATGTGCAAACAAATTTATGCATTTGAACACATTTCTAATTTTTTCAAATTCATTTGGTACGCATGGGCGTACTGTGCGTAACAAGCATTTGCTAAAAAACATTTTTTTCTAGAAAGGATGTTTCTACATGAATCTTGCATATCATTGGGCTATAATTACTACCCACTTCCCTGATATATTAAGTGCAATTTTAAGATAAAGGGACCAACAAAATATAGTTCTATTTCTAACCAGGAGATCGCTTGGTCTAATAGAGTAGGACAGAGTTGCCTGGAGGATATCAGATTTAACTTTTCACATGAAAATAATACCTGATTTGGGGAATACTGCCTTTCTGGGGATGTTTCTGTGAACTGAACTAACTGATCAAATGACAATATTCAATAGGCATGACACTATTTCAGGCCATTAACCTATTGTTTAGTATAATACATAAATGGAAATGACAAAGTACTGTATACATATATATCTATAATAGTTAGATTCTTCACTTTTCCACTTTAATTCCCACCAGCACCTTGTGGTAAATAATTGAAATAACTAGTCTCATCTTGATAACTGCTTCCCTCACCTTTAAAACTACTAAAGATCAGTCTGAAAAGGCAGTTTGGCCTCAGTGCTGTGTTCAGATTTTTGATATTAACAATAACGATTTTTTTTCTGGGTATCTCTGGTACAGATGAGTCCTCCCAAGTTCAAGAATTTATGTTATTTTTATTTTCATGACTCTTACTGAGGTAGAATGTAACAACTGCATGAATTAGACTTTGAACCAGTCAACTTTACAATATGATATCTATTAGGGTGTTTCACTTTTCGACTTTTTTTTCAAATCAAGATTGAGTTTTGCCCAGTTGGCCTCCTGATAAAGGAAAACAAGCAGAAAAAATTGACGTTGACGTTAAGCCCTCCCCCTACCACATTTTTTGATGCCCATTTGTTACCATGTTAATAATATATTAGCCGACAAGATCATCAAAATTGCAAATAAGTAGTTTTTGCTATTGATGCTCATGTATGCAGTGAGGGTGAATTATGCTAAATTTCACATAAATCTGAGCGGACAGATATTCACATACATGAGGATTATGTACTGGGAGATTTTGGATAAAGGGTTTATCCCAAGGGAATTATGTATATCTCCCTAGGGAGCGCAGGGATGTAAATTGAGTAAAACGTAAATTGAGTTCACTTTTCAGGAGCAGAATTGGGACAGATACAGCCTGTCCCAGTCCCGGACCTTGGGGATAGCTCCCTAGATACACAATATATTCCCGCTCATTACGTGCCTAGAACCTTAGTAGGTATGGAATACAAGGGCATACGAAATAATGATATCTTATATGCATCAATAACAAACTAATTTCATTAATAAAAAATAGAAAGAATAAAATATAGGCTCTCAATCAACATTAACAATTAACTGTTTTTTCTGTATGAATTATTGAATATATAAAATGAATTGAATGACTGAATATAATATTTGTAATCTTGGGTTTGTATGTAACTAACAAATCTCATTATCTCCACAGAATAGATATGCTGTGACCATGTGATTCAATGAATGGTATTAATAGACATGATAGAAGAAATAAGAGATAATCCTATGATTGGCATTACAACAGAGCTCATCGCCAGAGGAGGGGGCTTATCATTAGAGACCATACAAACTTCAGTGCTCAAAGGAAATGGGGATATAACATGCGAAGCCCCTTAAAATTGATTGTTTTAAATACCTAAGAGTCATGGTAAAAATGTTGTCTTTTCTAAATGAAAACTATATGTCCCATTGCCTGATGCTAATGAAATCCCTGTGAGATAATATAGCTGTTGCAAAGGATGATGACTTACCAGCATGATGTCACGAACTGTCTCTGCAAAGCCTACCACATACATGGCCACAGCTACAGCATTGGCTACTGAGAATATCAGACCAATGGCACCACCAAACTCAGGCCCCAGGCTACGAGATATCAGATAATATGCCCCACCTGAAAGGCAAAACCCCAAATAAAATATTAAACAGTTTCTTAACAACCAATTGACATTGCCAAGAAAATAGTGATTGAGGAGTTACAATTTCAGGGGAGGGGACGAAGGGGTATTTACCATACATACATACTGAAAGTTTTTGAAGTTATCAGGTCCGTTTTAAATGGCTGACAAGCAATGCACTGGGTAACAATCAATCATACATTAGTATTTACATGTTGGTGTATGGCAGAATTCAAACCAATGAAATATTCAATAAATTCTTGACAAAATTTCAATATTCAATAGTTCAATATTATTTTCTTTTCGAATAACGATTAAAACTGGCTATTTAAAATTGATTCTATATTTCTTGAGGTTCTCGATTTTCATTTTGAGAAACATCATTTAAAATTCAAATCAATTCAAGAAGTGGTTTGTCTGGAAATGAGCAGGCAAAAATGAGACACTCGCCCACAAATCTGATAATATATCTTAGCTTTTTTAAGTACAATAAAAAAGAGAATCATATTGATTTACCTCCTTTAATCTGGCCATTGGTACATATTGCAGACATAGATAAGGCTGTTATAGTTGTAACCACACAGGAGAGTAATACTATTAAAGCACTGAATCCCATCCCAGCCTGTCCGACTACCCAGGGTAACCTTAGAAACAGCATCACACCAAATATGTTCAGCAAGCATCTTACCTAAAACATTTTAAAACACAAAAGTTAACAAACATCTTACAAAAACTTAATGTACAGGTTATTCTCTATGATGGCATCTTTCCCAACTGTTTCAATGAGGGTGCAGTACCATGGAAGAGAAGAATGTGTTATTGAGCAAAGAATTATTTATGTGCAAGTATTATCTATTTGAACATATGACCACAATGACATTTGACAGTGGTAAGAATAGCTAATCAATAAAACAGGTTGTCCCTTAAAATAGTTATGCATAGATACCCATAATTTTTATGCTTATTCAATGTATAACCAGCTGTGTATAACCTATACTATTGAGAAGACGGACCGGTTCGGGGCAATAGCTGATGAAATTCTTTGTCACAAAGTTTGGCATTTTTTATAAAATCAAACGCGCGTCATTGAAACTCACAAGATGTAAATAGCATGTCATTTACATCATACCTTGATGGGGAAAAATAGATCTTATATGTTAGAAGTACTAAATAAAAGTTATCGTGAAAATGAGACAGTCGTTCTCGAGAGAAAAGAGCATCAATGCGCATTTAGAGAGTTTTGGTTCGTTTAAAAATCTGTAAAAAATTGGGGTACTTAAAAGCATCGGGAGGCATCATACATTTCAAATTAGACACGAGGAAGTCAATATTGAGCAAGTTATGGCTATTTTAAATTCAAATAAAACCGTTAACCCGTACCGGTCCAGCTTTTGACCCGTACCGGTCAATTTTCGTTAGCTGCGTATACCAAGGGTGAATTACAAAAAATAAAAAACTAGAAAAAGAATTGTTACCAAAAATAATCCTTGTATTTTGTCATTAGTTAAAATGTCATCAAAGTCATTTGTATGTTTAACATATCGCTGAATGCCAGAACATCAGAGGATGTGAGGTAAATCTTAATTTGATGTGTCTCTACCTTTACTTTTTAAAATTATTAATTGAAAAACTTACTAGAACTCCAGTGATCCAGCCAAACTTGACAGCCTCTGTTTTCTTTGCCTTGGGAGCAGCTTCAACATCTCCTGGAGTAATAACACCATTTGATTCACTCAGTAATGGCTCATTCACTCTCTGCCTTTCTTCCTCATGCTAAAAATATAAAGAAAAAATCATAAGCATAGAGAAAATCATCCAAGACTATAAAACAAAAATATGTAGGAAGTATAACTATAACATGCCAGTCTTACTATATTTGCATAAATTTTCATGATTATTTGTATGTTGGATATATTTGACAATACAAGTCAAGAGTGTAAGGAGAGAAGGGGGGGGGGTCCTCTTGTTCAGCAAAGTTTCATCATGAAGATATGAATCACTAAATTTGAAGTTTAAGTCAAATGTTTTGAATGATTATAAATGAATTCCCACCGAAATATATTTTTATCTCAAAAACCACTCAAAGTTTATCGAAGAACCATTGTATAACAATATACAACAATATTATGTTGGATTGATGGATTATGTATATCAAATCATTTATAAGACTCCCATAAACTGTAACTTCAAAGCCAAAAAAGCTATTTTTGGGCTGAGATAAAAAAGCAGTAAAGTATTCTTATGTTTTATCATAAGCAGTATAAATAAATTTGATGTTTTTAGTTGAATATGGTACAAATTATGGCCTGAATTATAGTGGTTGTCAAGATAGTCTGGGCATAAATATGGTATAAAACTATATCTAAAGTTACCTGTCACTCTTGCACCAGAAAAATGCAGTAATACTGTATATCATTCAGATAAACTCATGGCAGATGAATTAACAAAATAGTATTGTAAATTAGCTAGCAGGGGTTTCATTAGCAGCAGGCAACAGGCGAGTTTAACCGGTTGTTTTCACAAAACCGCCTGTTGTTTTTAGGGATTTCAACTTTTCCATGTTAAATTTATAATTTTCATTAATTTTACCTGTTGTTTTCATTTATTTAGCCTGTTGTGAGAAATTCTAGAGAAACCCCTAAGCTAGACAATGACCCCAAGGCTCTTCATTGTTAAAAGGGACTGTAAAGTTCAAGTTTTACAATTTCTTGCTCTTTCTATTAAACAATTTTTTATATCTAAAAATATATATATTCTATATATTCTATATTCTAAATATATATTTAATAACAACAAACTTTGCTTACACTTAACACTGTAATATAATAGGTATATCAGTCTGAATTTAGTATTACCATGAATAATTTTAGTTATACATTTTCTTATTGTATTGTATATATAATAGGATTTTATTAGTACTGATGCCCTTTTAGGGCCAAACGTACATCCGATATACAATTTTCAATAACAGTAAATATAGCAATAAAGTAAAGAAAATAGGATTACATTCTTCAAATGACATATAAAATGTTACATTGATATAAGAATCCTGTCTCTACCATTCATTAGATACTGGTAGTTAAAATTTAGTATATAGAACAATACCAAGTTTTTGACTGATACCAAATATAAAATTAGTACCATGGGTACTGGGCTCACATGGTAACAGAAAAGATATAATAATTTTTTGCCAATAATTTGTAACAAAATTATTTCATACAACTACTCTTTACAGTGACATGGCTTTTTGCAATGCAAGACACCTGAAATTATTTGTAAAGCTAGGAAATGGGCCAAAATTGAATTTCGCGAGACAAAAATGGCGACCATTTTGAAATCAGGCAAGCTTTTGAACCAGGAGTCATAGGGGAGTTTTTTGTATTGATGTTGAACAAAAATAACTTGAAACTGGAATCCTATCGACAGAGGTTTTAAGCAAATGGTCCAAAAGAGGATTTCGCGAGACAGATGGACAAATCAATGTTAACTAAAATGGCTGAAAATAAAAAAAATGGATATAATATTTTGTCGATTTTTTGTAACAAAGTTATTTCATACAACTACCTTTTACAGTGGCATGGCTTTTTACAATGCAGGACAGCTGAAATTATTTGTAAAGCTAGGAACTTGGCAAAAAGTGAATTTCGCGAAACAAGAATGGCAACCATTTTGAAAATAGGCGAGCTTTTGAACCAAGAGTCATAGGAGAGTTTTTTGTATTGATGCTGAAAAAAATTAACTTAAAATGGGAATCCTATCGACAGAGGGTTTAAGGTAAATGGTCCAAAAGTGGATTTTGCGAGACAGATCGACAAATCAATGTTAACTAAAATGGCTGAAAATAAATAAATGGATATAATTTTTCGCTGATTTTTCGTAACAAAATTATTTCATACATCTACTCTTTACATTGACATGGATTTTTACAATGTAGGACACTTGAAATTATTTGCAAAGCTAGGAAATGGGTCAAAAGTGAATTTCGCGAGACAAAATGGCGGCCATTTTGAAAATAGGAGAGCTTTTGAACCAGGAGTCATAAGGGAGTTTTCTGAATTGATGTTGAACAGAAATAACTTAAAACAGGAATCCTATTGACAGAGGTTTTAAAACGTGCCACAGAAAGTGGATTTCGCGAGTCAGATAGACAAATCAATGTTAACTAAAATGGCTGAAAATAAAAAAATGGATACAATTTTTCGCTGATTATTTGTAACAAAATTATTTCATATATCTACCCTTTACATTGACATGGATTTTTACAATGTAGGACACCTGAAATTATTTGTAAAGCTAGGAAATGCGTCAAAAGTGAATTTCGCGAGACAAAAGTGACAGCCATTTTGAAAATAGCCAAACTTTTGAACCAAGAGTCATAGGAGAGTTTTTTGTATTGATGTTGAACAAAAATAACTTAAAATGGGAATCCTATCGACAGAGGGTTTAAGGTAAATGGTCCAAAAGTGAATTTTGCGAGACAGATGGACAAATCAATGTTAACTAAAATGGCTGAAAATAAATAAATGGATATAATTTTTCGCTGATTTTTCGTAACAAAATTATTTCATACATCTACTCTTTACTTTGCAATGGATTTCTACAATGTAGGACACTTGAAATTATTTGTAAAGCTAGGAAATAGGTCAAAAGTGAATTTCACGAGACAAAAATGGCGGCCATTTTGAAAATAGGCGAGCTTTTGAACCAGGAGTCATAGGGGAGTTTTCTGAATTCATGTTGAACAGAAATAACTTAAAACAGGAATCCTATCAGAGGTTTTAAAACGTGCCACTGTTATTGACAGAAAGTGGATTTCGCGAGTCAGATAGACAAATCAATGTTAACTAAAATGGCTGAAAATAAAAAAATGGATACAATTTTTCGCTGATTTTTTGTAACAAAATTATTTCATATATCTAATCTTTACATTGACATGGATTTTTATAATGTAGGACACCTGAAATTATTTGTAAAGCTAGGAAATGGGCCAAAAGTGAATTTCGCGAGACAAAAGTGACCGCCATTTTGAAAATAGGCGAGCTTTTGAACCAGGAGTCATATGGGGGTTTTCTGTATTGATGTTGAACAGAAATAATTTAAAACAGGAATCCTATCGACAGAGGTTAGCTAGGAAATGGGCTAAAAGTGAATTTTGCGAGACAAAAGTGACGGCCATTTTGAAAATAGGCGAGCTTTTGAACCAGGAGTCATAGGGGGGTTTTCTATATTGATGTTGAACAGAAATAACTTAAAACGGGAATCCTATCGACAGAGGTTTTAAAACGTGCCACTATTGTTGACGGACAGACGGACAGACGGACGGACGGACGGACGGACAGACAGACGGACAAGTGAGTGATTGCAAAAGCTCACCATGTGAGCTAATAATAATAACCAGGCATTAACATGCCAAAATGTCACCACCAAGTTAGTTATTGCAAATAGTTACAAAACTGTAACAATAGTTATAAAACCAAACTTTGGTCATCCCAACAGTCATAACAATAATCTGTTTCCATTGTAACATATATCCATTGCCATGGTAATTCAAACTGCCAAAAATATGTTGAAATGTGTCGACAATAATAATTTTAGGTCCATGTGAGCATTACTTCTTAAATCATTGCAAATGGTTACAAAATGTTACAAGTCAACATATTTGTTGCAATGGTAACATATATACTGGCAAAAATGTGTTGGATCAAACCACAGTAAAAATTTGAAGTCAGTCCAAACAGTACTCGTTAAGTTACTAGAACTTGGAAGTTGTAAGAATTGGTCAGAGAAGCTTCTGGAGGTGAAATAAATGTAATTTAGCTTAAAGTATAATATATTTATCATCGCAATGATCACATGGGAAGTGGGACACTTATGTTTTCAGCAATTTGTTCATTTACAAGGGGTACATGGCGTGGGTACAAGGTGGTCATAATAGAAATCAAGATAAGTAAAAGAGACCGACATGGGAAGTAGGGGACACTTATGTTTTCAGCAATTTGTTCACTTATCAGTGGGTAAGTCAAGTGGTGTCAACAACTAAAGTAAACAATGCTCTTCAAAGGTATCAGTATTAGTCAGATTTTATGATTTCAATTCCATTTAAAAACTTCTGATTTTCTCAAGCATAATATCAAAAATCTTGCAGTTTACAATGATACATGCTTAAGTTGGATGAAGTGATTCAACACATACTTGAATCTGGGGGTAACATGTAAGACAAACACCTAACAACAAGAGCCAATTCAAGACAGAAAGAGTGGCTCATTCATAATTCTAGTAAATAATGATATCTACTTAAGTAGCATGTAAACATCCTATACAACCATCCTATGAGTGCAAACAAACAAATACAACAAGTGAATCTTTTATCACTTATCCTAAGGTGCCCTATTAATTGCAAGTAAAGGAAACACTGGTATTGATATCAAAAGCAAGAATATGAAAATTAACATCTATCCAGTATTAAAAATTAGTACCGTGGGTACTGGGCTCACATGGTGACAGAAAAAAAACGGATATAATTTTTTGCTGATTTTTTGTTACAAAATTATTTCAAGCCATCTGTCTCTCTGTCAATTAAAATGGCTGAAAAAAAAACGGATATAATTTTTTGCCAATAATTTGTAACAAAATTATTTCATACAACTACTCTTTACAGTGACATGGCTTTTTGCAATGCAAGACACCTGAAATTATTTGTAAAGCTAGGAAATGGGCCAAAATTGAATTTCGCGAGACAAAAATGGCGACCATTTTGAAATCAGGCAAGCTTTTGAACCAGGAGTCATAGGGGAGTTTTCTGTATTGATGTTGAACAAAAATAACTTGAAACTGGAATCCTATCGACAGAGCAGTTTTAAGCAAATGGTCCAAAAGAGGATTTCGCAAGACAGATGGACAAATCAATGTTAACTAAAATGGCTGAAAATAAAAAAAACGGATATAATATTTTGCCGATTTTTTGTAACAAAATTATTTCATACAACTACCTTTTACAGTGACATGGCTCTTTACAATGCAGGACAGCTGAAATTATTTGTAAAGCTAGGAAATGGGCAAAAAGTGAATTTCGCAAAACAAGAATGGCAACCATTTTGAAAATAGGCGAGCTTTTGAACCAAGAGTCATAGGAGAGTTTTTTGTATTGATGTTGAACAAAATTAACTTAAAATGGGAATCCTATCGACAGAGGGTTTAAGGTAAATGGTCCAAAAGTGGATTTTGCGAGACAGATGGACAAATCAATGTTAACTAAAATGGCTGAAAATAAATAAATGGATATAATTTTTCATGGTTTTTCGTAACAAAATTTTTTCATACATCTACTCTTTACATTGACATGGATTTTTACAATGTAGGACACTTGAAATTATTTGTAAAGCTAGGAAATGGGTCAAAAGTGAATTTCGCGAGACAAAAATGGCGGCCATTTTGAAAATAGGCGAGCTTTTGAACCAGGAGTCATATGGGAGTTTTCTGAATTGATGTTGAACAGAAATAACTTAAAACAGTAATCCTATCGACAGAGGTTTTTAAACGTGCCACAGAAAGTGGATTTCGCGAGTCAGATAGACAAATCAATGTTAACTAAAATGGCTGAAAATAAAAAAATGGATACAATTTTTCGACAAAAGTGACGGCCATTTTGAAAATAGATGAGCTTTTGAACCAAGAGTCATAGGAGAGTTTTTTGTATTGACGTTGAACAAAAATAACTTAAAATGGGAATCCTATCGACAGAGGGTTTAAGGTAAATGGTCCAAAAGTGAATTTTGCAAGACAGATGGACAAATCAATGTTAACTAAAATGGCTGAAAATAAATAAATGGATATAATTTTTCGCTGATTTTTCGTAACAAAATTATTTCATACATCTATTCTTTACTTTGAAATGGATTTCTACAATGTAGGACACTTGAAATTATTTGTAAAGCTAGGAAATGGGTCAAAAGTGAATTTAGCGAGACAAAAATGGCGGCCATTTTGAAAATAGGCGAGCTTTTGAACCAGGAGTCATAGGGGAGTTTTCTGAATTCATGTTGAACAGAAATAACTTAAAACAGGAATCCTATCGACAGAGGTTTTAAAACGTGCCACTGTTATTGACAGAAAGTGGATTTCGCGAGTCAGATAGACAAATCAATGTTAACTAAAATGGCTGAAAATAAAAAAATGGATACAATTTTTCGCTGATTTTTTGTAACAAAATTATTTCATATATCTAATCTTTACATTGACATGGATTTTTACGATGTAGGACACCTGAAATTATTTGTAAAGCTAGGAAATGGGCCAAAAGTGAATTTCGCGAGACAAAAGTGACAGCCATTTTGAAAATAGGTGAGCTTTTGAACCAGGAGTCATAGGGGGGTTTTCTGTATTGATGTTGAACAGAAATAACTTAAAACAGGAATCCTATCGACAGAGGTTAGCTAGGAAATGGGCTAAAAGTGAATTTCGCGAGACAAAAGTGACGGCCATTTTGAAAATAGGCGAGCTTTTGAACCAGGAGTCATAGGGGGGTTTTCTGTATTGATGTTGAACAGAAATAACTTAAAACAGGAATCCTATCGACAGAGGTTTTAAAACGTGCCACTATTGTTGACGGACGGACGGACAGACGGACGGACAGACGGACGGACAGACAGACAGACGGACAAGTGAGTGATTGCAAAAGCTCACCATGTGAGCTAATAATACAAAGGGTACACCAACCCAGTATTTGAATTTGGATATTTAGAATATTTGGACCATTGATCTTAAGCTTGCATAAAATCATGGGCTTTCAATTAGAGTTGAAAGCCCATGATAAATTATACTTAATTGTTCAAAATAAATTTAGAGAAAGTCTTATATAGTACACATGGGTATAACTGACTAAATCAGAGTCAGAAATTACTATTTCCCACAATTCTTCTTAGACAGTTTAAACAAGAATTTGGGAAAATCAAACCAAAGTAATAAGACACACATATCATGTAATGTTTCCAAGTACACATTCTGGTTTCATAGGTCAAAGTCTTTTACTTGAAGTCTTAGAATACAGCTAAATTACTGCATTCGAAAGTGTAGTCATCAATTCAATCAAGTATTGCAAGCCTATGAAGTTTATAATTAGAACTTTCCCTTGTCATATATCTGTTAGTGAAATGCTTTATTGAGGATAATGAAAGACATGGACATATTTGCAGTGTCAGACACCCAAGCGAGTGAATCAACCATATAAAATAGAAATTCTTTAGCCAATTTATAGATGCTCAATTTAATTCCTTTAGAACAAGCCACAAACACTTCCTGTCTCCCTTTTATGAGAAGCATGCTGATTGTATTTTTTATTTCTTTGTATATGTTGTTTCATAGTAATACACATACAATGTTTATGTGTATTCAAATTGACAGACATGGTGCATTGACCTTGAACAGCATGAACTATAAAGTCAAGCTCTCAATTCATCTTGGCTAATGAATGGATGCTGATATAAAACTGCGTAAAAAATAAAAATACCGATATAGTACATATACTTTAATTCATATTTGTTAAATACAAAAAAACTGAGGGAACAGAAAATCATAATATCATCCTTTATTTGCAAAGAACATTCTAATACTGATTCTAAAAAAAGTATGATTATTCAATTTAAAACAATTCATTGACTCTATAAGAACTAGAAAATTATCTAATCAAAAGGAAAGAGGAAGATGGATGAGATTATAACTGACAATATAAATGAAACAAAAATTAATCATAAAGGTTCTTCCTTCTAAATTTCTCCAATGGTGGGGATATCCCTCTCCCTCATTTGTTATTACATGTAGTCTAAAAAGAAGAAGATTGGGAAACATGTCGACTCTGGATTTCAATGTATAAATCCAATGAGAAGCATTTACATTAGCAACTATGCTATTTTGCTAATCTGAATAAATATAGTATTATAACATGTATAAATCGTATGTCATTAAAAACTGATATATATATGTTATTTTACAGGTGACAGATATCATCAAGGGAAATTATTGCCTTTGTTTCTAAGTTTATATTCACTAACACCTGTTGGCTACCGGGATTAACCTTCTATTTTATGGGCAACAGGTTTAAATATGATTACATGTAGTACCTGCCACTATTCCATTTATGTTTAAATGAGTTAAAAACGGTAACCGACAGGCATTAGTTGCATTTGCGAATACAAGCTTAGACAATGCATTTTTTAGCCAATGAGGTATCAGGCCAAAATCTTAGAATATCATCTTAGAATGTAACATCAATTATGGTGCACTTCAAGTTGGCTCAGCCTATCTAAAGAAAATGTGGGTCCACAAAATTAACTAGATTGCTGCCATTTTTACAAAATCCTTGTACTATATCTAGTTCTTTTTCAGTTATGCCCCTTCCCCTTCAGGATCACCCTTCTTGTTTTGTTAAACATACCCTTCACAATCACAGATCCAGGGAGGTATGGGGAATACCCCACGCTCTCCTAGGATGGGCCCAGAAAAATTATTTGGGCCTAAAATTTTGTAGGGCCGCATTATTGGGCCTTAGGGGCATTACTCAGCCTTTTAGGACCTTATTTTTTAATTCTAGGCCAAATTAACAAAAAAAAATAGGGGCTGTTTTAGGGGCCCAGAATTTTATCTTTTTTTGACATTTTTCTGACTTGAAATGTGGGTCCCCCCTACTTGACTTCCAGATCCGCCAACCACTGCAGTGCGAAGGCATATACCCTGTATACAAGTTGAAATAGTCAAATTTTATATTCGAATGTCACAAAACAAATAATAGTCGGGAAATTTCAGAATACATGTATAAGGACTGCAGAAGATATTTGAAAATGGTCCGAATAAATTTGTACGATTAAAAAATCTGTCTTCATACAATGACATTTATACCAGTTTACTCAGCAGAAGAAATGGATGCCATTTTGAAATGAAATTTCGCTTAGCTCCCGGGGCTTAGCTATATTATTTAAACCTTTATAACAATCAATTAAGAGAGGGATATGAGCTGTTATTCTGCAAATCTAATGTATGCACAAAGGTATGTTTCATATAATTATGCCGTAACAACTATGCATGTGTCACCATGATCTACAAATATTGAATACCATGGCTGCTGAAACTTTCACTCAAAGCCGGAATATACATATAGAGAAGGCTTTGGACCTGAGTAAGTCATGGGGTGTAGCGCCTATTACGCAAGATATTCACATGCAAGATATCCCCGAATGGGAGTCGTAACAACAAACACTTAGCTCATTTGCTTACCTTTTGAAGAGCATCTTGAACTACATCAGGATCATGCAGTTCTAGTAATGTTGGCCTCTGTTTCATCATATTAGCCGTTGTTGAGGCAAGATTACGATAATGATCGATACATGGAAGTGCTTCAATTGTATTTTGACCGAACGTTTTAAGGTTTGTTGTGTCATAACCGTGTGTATCATATCCAACAGTGAATTGTGGAGAGATGGGAGAAGATGAATTTACTGTGTCTGTTGGGTCAGTAGAGGTGGAAAATACTCCATCAGCATCTGGTTTGTTTTCATTTTTCACATTTTCTTCATTCATTGAATCACCTTTATTCTTTGGTTCTCCCTCACTAACGAATACGACCTTAAATCTTGATTTTTTGTGGTCGTCTTTATTCTCAGGATTTGACTCTTGAGATTTATCCATATTTGGATCTTCCTTTTTGTCTTCACCTTGTTGGTTTGAATCTTTTTCTCCGACTGCAGACATTTCCATGTTTTTCGTCCGCCATACAGCGACCACGTGATCAACTGGCTAGACCAATCAAAACGTGATACATAAAAAAACGAACGAATCAATAGAGTACATCTGCACTGTGTTCGCTTTTTTCTTTCAGGAGTTTTTCCACGAGATAAAGTTGACATCTGAACCAACACTAAATACTGACGGATCCAGAAGCTAACCAACCTAACAAAGGGGGAGCGAGCACATTTTAAATCAGAAAAAAAAGATTTTTGGGCCACCATGTCCCAAAAAATGGGCTCAACTTTTGGCCCATTTTCTGATAATTACGGTTGGCCAAGACTATAAGGCCCACTAATTGAGGCCACCCACTGTTACGCAGTATATGGCATACATTAATGGTTGCACGGTATTTGTGATACGGGTGGATATGCCATACCATGGGCTTTCAACTAGAAGGGTAGGCAACTTCCCATATTTCATACATAAACATTGCCTTTGGGTTTTCAAAATTGGAGAATGTACACATTCCAAGAAAATCTTATTTTGTTCTTTTTATTGATGATTAAAAGAAATAACTCAAAAATAAAAACATGATCTTCTACATACATCTTGATAATTTAATAAAAATTGGAATTCATCATAATTATGACACAGAAAGTGAACATTCTCCCACAAATTATGTTTTTATTGGAATGTGTTCTTGAATAATTACCCACAATGCAATACTCAAAGAGAACATCTTGATAAATCTTATTCTTATTGGTCTCTTTTGTTTACTTTTACATGATATTGAATATATTTTATGCTTAAATCATATTAAAAATTGATTTTTATTCAAAATAATACTAAAACATATACATTTATCTAATACTTTTTGAAATATTGCCATAAAAGGGAAGCATGGCATTGTTCATTTTGAAGGTCTCATGTTATTATATAGAGTTGCATACCCTTCTAGTTGAAAGCCCATGGCCATACTCACCTGCGGTATATGGCATATTCCGCAGGTGAGTATGCGATATTCCGCAGTGAATATGCGATACATTGATTTCAGTGCCCGATACTCAGTACTCACCTCCGAAATATGTCATACTCACTTGCGGAATATGCCATATACCGCAAGTGAGTATGGCATATTCACCCGTATCACAAATACCGCGCAACCATGAATGTATGCCATATACCACGTAACAGCGGGTGGCCTCAATTAGTGGGCCTTTTTGTCATAGTCTTGGCCAACCGTAATTATCAGTTAAAAGAGAGACACATGCTAAATTACAATTTCACCACCCCTCATTAAAAGGGCGTTCAAATTGAGAAATTAAATATAACGCAAAGAAGTAGGACGTCAAAATATTTTCACAGAATAGGCAGATTGCGTACAATTTTAAAAAATTGTCACAAATTCAGCACATAATTGGAAAGCTTATATTGCGTCCTTTTTATCCTAAAAATCAAATAAAGAACTTTGGCACTGGTGATCCACTCGATTACGCTGGTTACCAAAACGGTTCGTTTTGGTAACAAAATGTCGGAACGTCGAAGGTACTATTTTTCTTTTTTCCTTATTTCACGCGTTGTAGGCAGAATCCCCACGACGTTTTTTCTCACAAACGTATATCAGTATCATATGTTTTAGAAAATGTTCATGTTTGCGAAAAAATAGCTCAGAAGACGAATCGTCAATTTAATTCCTCACTTTAGTTACATAAACGGTTTTGGTTAAAAGTACAGATCTTAACTGTTTTTCGAAAAACCGTTTATGTAACTTAAGTGAAGAATTAAATCGACGATTCTGTTGTGTTCTGAACTATTTGTTCGCACATATGTACATTTTCTTAAACATATGATACTGATACACGTTTGTGTTAAAAAATGTCGTTGGAATTCTGCATACAACGTGTGAAATAAGGAAAAGAGAAAAATCGTACCTTCGAAGTTCCGACATTTTGTTACCAAAACGAACCGTTTTGGTAACCAGCGTAATCGAGTGGATCACCAGTGTTTGGGGACTGAGAAATTAAGTGTAACGCATAGAACTTTTAATATATAATAGATAACGAAACTATGTGGAACCACGGACCCAAAGTCGTGGTGGGAACTTATCAGTCGGCGTTCGTTGACTTACACTCCCTCCAAATGTTTGGCAACCCTAACCCAAATTAATTGGTTTCTAATGTCAAAATTATATTTGAACAATTTTTTCCCGTGTTCTCCTTTTGACATAACACAGGGGATTTATCTTAAAAATTACCTTGAAGCTCTCCAACTTAAATCCTATACTAAGAAAACTAAACGATAAAGGTCTAGCCTGTAAAAAATAGACATTCAATTTTTTGGAAGGAAGAGTATACTGAATTAAAATGTCCTGTGGTCGGTTTTTCACCCTCTGACCACGGACCATTTGGTCTTTTACAGTTTCATTTTCAAACCTTGCTCTGGGGCTAGCTGTCTTTTTCATACACCCCACACAAGGACACACAAATTCAACCCCGATGTTGAGATTGTGAGTGAGGAAGTTTCCAGTGAGTTGTGAGTTACTCTACTGAGCTGACAGAAGTCAGAAACTTTTGAGCCAGCTGTGTTCAGTAACCAGTGAGCCAAATGGGCAAGACATGCGTTACAGTTTTTTTAAAAATATTTTGACGTTTCTCAATAAAAAGTTACAAAAATATTCATAGACAATTAATTGTTCGAAGGAATCACTCCAATGGGGATCTTGAGTGAGGTACATGTACTTTCTAATCACGGACGTCAAGTAAGTTTCTGGGAGCATAGATTATTTAAGAGGACTGGAAACAAGGATGACCTACCTTTTTATTACCTGAATCTCGCCTGAAATTAGCTCATCTTGGTGACTGTAACCTGTATATCTGTATCAATAGTCTCTTTGTATCGCATCTGCCTCAATTTTAAAGTTTTATTGGTATTTTTAATATGATTTCACTGTTTTTGTGAACTGGACGATTCAGCCAAGCAAATGCCAGCTGACCTGTTCAAAGTACTTTTATTACTAATTATCGCAAATGACAATAATTTTGGAAACAATATTATACTTTAAATAGACTACTAAGCATCTAAGGTAAGTAAAACTAGATGAACAACTGAGTCAATAGTGATAAATAGGCCAACACGAGTTGGCAGATTTGAAATAGACTGCCATCTTGTTTCCAGTCCTCTTTATAATCTCAAGCTTTCGCCAGGAACTTACTTGACGTCCGTGTTTCTAATGAGCTAAATCATACTGCCAGCTATATCTGCGAGAAAACCCACTCACACAGTACCATAGGGTCTGGTTGAGGACTAATTTATTGGGTTCATAATACGTTGTATTGCATGTGCGTCCTCATATCAGGGGACGGTTGCATTAGATGAGGATAAGGAAACTTGAAGGCAAAACCTATGTGCTCTGGCGAGAGGTGGGGAAAGAAGGCTTCAAGTGATGATGGAGACTGTTTTGTTGTTGTTTTTAGATGTGGATGCGTCCCCATGGGAAAATCCTGCGGACGCCTATGTACTGGCATGATAAAATAAACAAAGATATAAAATATCTATTATTTTTTATAAATTATAATTTATTAGATCTATCACAAATTACAAGATACACCTGACATAGTTTCTGACATAGAACCTAAAAAGTTCATGTATTATTTACCTTGATTATGTAAATCATAAATACAGAAAAGGTACAGGGCTCCCAACAGGAACTAGGTCATTGGCAGAAACATTTTCAATGTATCAGTTCAGTCTTGGAAAAATAACAGTTTTTATTTATTTTATCAGTTTATATGACACAGTTGTAAAAGCCAAGCTCAGATTGTAGCAACGGCCATGACTTGTCAATAAGATCTGACTGGATCTAGACTGTGGGGAGGTGTGGTGGCTTACCAGTATAAATACCTGTAAGAGCCCTACTGTATTTATTCTACTAATTTCTTTAATAAAAGGTACATTTGACTGTTTAATATAAAAAGATTCAATGATCTAATGGTCACTTTTCAAGATTAAAACTTGTCATCATGATTCTTGGAAAATAATGGGAAATATTTCTGAATAGTTTTCAACAAAATGCACCTCCAGGCCATCAGTGATAAATGTTTGTAAATCTGAATAGTCTTTTTTATTCTCTGCAGGCAGGATGATGCATGACACACCAGCTCTTTTGGCCTGGAACAAGCAAATGTAAACAAACAAATAACAACAGATATGTTGAACCAGCTATTACAAATTACAGTTAAAATGTTTTTTTGCACCTTATAGAAATAGACTTGTTTATTTATTTTTATTCATACTTTATATTTATCCATTTTATATTTTATTCAATTACCAGTATATTTTATTTCAATAATATAATTTTTTTATAAATCTATGTATTATTTGCATTAAATACTGTAGATTGGGTTAATTTGGCGCCCGCTTTAATTTGGCGAATTTGGCGAAATTGAAAAATTCGCCAATATAAATCTTCGCCAAAATTTAGAATGAATCCCCGGGAATTATCTAGGGTATTTTGTCCAGTGTATTTAGGTCATTTCCGGTTTAGTTTTTTCCAAAAATATGAAAAAATGTCTTTCATAAATTGGCTCAGAACTGGTCCGTCACTCATTAATACTCAGGGAAAAACTAGAAAGGAAAAGCATGGTAAAGTAGCAGCATCGATCAAGGTGCAAAATGTAAAGGATAATCTCACAAAAATGTACAAACGTGGTGAATATCGCTAGTGGTCCTCAAAAGAACATAGCCAAACATGCCCATTTACATGGCAATTGGCAAACTGCGCGGCGCGTAAGTTAATTAAATTTTTTTGCATATCCGCCAAATTAAATAGCCGCCAATATGCCAAAAATGGCAAAATCGCCAAATTAAGTAGCGCCAAATTAACCCAATCTACAGTAGTTAGTAAATGTTTTAATTATTTTCTTGTATTACTGGGGCATGACCACCTAAAACTTAAGTTCAATACAGATGAGGTTTTCTTTTTTAAAAAGACAAACTGATGTAAAATGGTTTACCTATGTAAACATATACAATATAGATGTTAATGAAATAGACCATGGTGTAGAATATAGTGCTAAATCTCTTGAGATGACCCCTAATTTAATGAAATAGAATTTGTAATAAATACATTCACTTACAGCAATTGCTTTTTCTTTAATACCACCTACAGGTAAAACCTTCCCTGTCAGTGAGATTTCACCCGTCATGGCAAGATTCTGTCGAAGTGGTTTGTCCATAGCCAATGAGAGGAGAGCACTCACAAGAGTACAACCTGCACTGGGGCCATCTTTAGGCGTAGCACCCTAAAACATAACAACAACACTTTCATATTTCTTCAGGCCAGTCTTTTTTATCAATAATTATTTAAGCATTATCTCCTTGAGATCTACATGTATTTCAAGTTGTAGATTTTAGCATGGCATCTATATTGACAAAAATATGTATTTTACTGCACATCATAATTAATTTTGAGTACAGCATAGTACTACACTTTACACCCCTCTTGTGGAATCACTCATGATCCATACACTTGGATAAATTCTACTTGCTGTAAAACCTAATTCTACCTTTATCATTTGAAATACATTTGAAAAGCCTGCTAACATCAAGTTTAAGTGATCATCCATTATCTACATGTACATTGTACACAAGACTAAATTGTCTGAGGCCGAATTGATTCTGTTTGTTAAGAGCAGCCTAATAACAATGAACACACTTAAGCTTCCCCCTCCCCTGAGAAATATATATATTTTTTTTAGACTACATTGATAGATTAACAAAAACAAACCCAAGGACCCCATAACTAGCATCCTCCGATCACAGGGCTTCAAAATCCAGAATATATTCTTTCTTTTTACCCCTGCGATAAGCAGTTACCATTTCCCCGATTAAGAACTCGCAATCTGATTGGCTGTCGCAACACTGCGACAGAAATCATGAATAAGTCATTGCGCATAATTAGATCATGTGATTCAGTTTAATCGGGTGCTTCCAAATTGGTTATAGCAGGGGGAATGAGGAGGTACGGATTCTGTACACCTGCTTAGGAGGATGCATAACTAGTGCATTATTCATAGTATAAACAATGAGAAGACATACTCATTTATTTCATATTGCTAACAACAATAACAGAAGAAATGGTAATTTCCTTCCTTTTTCCTAGAGTTATTGGTGAAGGCTTTTTGAGTTATACAACTTTTGTATTGACACAAAATACACAATGTTTATTTAGAAATGAACAAAACATGGTTCTATTACATTCTCCCTATTCATATTGAACTATGACAATGTAAAGAAGGTTTAGTACCAGGTATAATACATACCTCTGGTACATGAAGGTGTATATGACCATTCTGTAGCACCATGTTGTCAGGCTGTTTCTCCACAAGTATCTTCTTAGCAACTGTGTGTGCAATACGTCCACTCTCCTTCATCACATCTCCAAGGTGACCAGTCAATTCAACAGAACCTACAGAATTATACCAGAAAATACCAGAATTTATTATTGTGCCAGATAAGTTCATTTTGGTTAGTAAAACTTATAAAGCGTTATCTTAATTTGCTGCCATGGTACCAAAGATCCCCGCAAAGATCGTCTTAAAAGTGAACATGTCTAGAATGTAGCTATAGGGGATACCAAGAAAGAAAATTTCAATCATTCTACCAAATGGTTTGGTAACAGAAAATCCAAAAGGACCACTTTATGGTCCATGCACCATATCTAATCATACCAACAAGCCCTTTGAAAATGTAAAATCAACCTTTCTATTGAAATATTTGAAAACTTGTCAACTACAGTAACTTTTACCAAGCATGCCCTCGTGTGTTTTGGATTTTTTCTCTGAAACATCTTTTTTATTCATTGTCTGGACGCACACAAAAGCAAATTAGGGATGCCCACCAGCTACCAAAAAGACACAATATATCATCCATGGGAATATAAGAAAAAAGTGAAAATCGATAATACACTTAAAAAAGTGAACACTACATTGAATAAATTCTTTTCAAATGCATTTTATGCATTTCTTTTGAAAATGAAGTACAGGTTATGGTGACTTCCCTAAAAAGTAAATAAAACACGAAGAACTATAAATTCAAGAACTTCCTGGTTAGCTGAAAGTGAATCTAAGCCAGCATTCATAAATTTTATCAAGGTAAGAATAACAAATAACAATTAATATGAAATTAATTGGTTTTATATGTGTTTTATGGGAGTTAGTCATTTCTTAAAAAAAGAAAACCCTACATCTGGGGTATGATTAGATGTAAACAAACTTTGGTTTCCAGGAAGTAAAGTGTAGGTCAATGCACTGCACATGTGCAGAACTCATTTCTCATCAATTTTTCCTACAAGCTAGAAGGTCAGTGTGCAATCGGATTGAATCCCAAAACCACCCATGAATTATCCCCCAATTAAGGTGAGATCAAGAAAATGGTAAGATATATTGTTAGTGATACATTAAGGTAGGCAACTAAAGTAATCACTTTTATATTGGTCAGATGCACTGTTTATGTTTTTGAGAGATAATATAGCTAATTAAAAAAAATTAAATATGTAACAGAAATGACTACTCCCTAAAAAAACCACATGGACAAAAATACATATAAATGTTTTCTTCATTAAAATTTCATTACACATAGATTCGATTAACAATAACAATAAAACACATTCAAATAGATTCTTGTTTTAAGTAACCACATGACTGCCAGAATCATAAAAAGTCACCCTTAGATCATCAGAACTTACAAAAGTTGCTCATTGGAAATTGATGTTTAAAATAACAATTAATAGTCTCTATACATTGCAGGTGATTTGAAAAAAGACAAACATAATCTGATAATGGCACGCAGTATACAAGCATTCCTATTTATACTCATTGCTACAAAAGCTGTGTCCTCAAATGAAACATTCAAAGGGAACCAGATGTATCAATCCACAAAACAAACAAAATATGCTGACGATGCAACTGATAGTTCAAGTTTTGATGAGAAAGAAAATGGCATCTCAAATGGGCCAAAACTCTGTATATTCAGGTATAACAAAAAGAAAGAAATGGTTTGTGTATGCAAAGCAAAAAGAAAAAGCGATCAAATCACATTGGCAGAAATCCTAAAATATATGGGTAAAACATACATGTTCTGTACTTCATTGAGGTTTGAACACTTTAAGTTTGAAACTTTAGAAAATGGGTCATTTGATGGATTTAAACAGCTGTCACAGATCTTTCTGTTCAATTGCAGTGTTATGGAGATTGGAAGAGATGCCTTTAAAAGCAACAGTCTCTTAACTCAAAGTAATATTACAATCAAAATTGAAATGAATCCTATAAGACATATTAAGCCTGGTACCTTTGATGTGGGCAAATCATGGAAACAATTATCACTCTGCCAAAATCAGAACTTGGGAACGGAAAATATTCAAACAGTATTTAACGATCTAAGGAATAAAACAGTTGATCGTTTGGAAATAAAGACATGTGGAATTTTTCTGAGAGAATTAGATAAATCTTTTTTTGAACCATTACGTTACTCCAGAATTACAAAATTAAATATGATAGGAAACTCTTATGGAATAGTGACATCTGATGCATTTGAACCATTGGGGGCATTTCTCCAAACTCTGGTATTGTGGAATTTCATGGATGTGCAAAGAGATACATTTGGGGTGTTTCATAAGCTAAGAGGGCTTAACATTGGTGGACTGACAGTGACTAGAAGCTCTTATGCAAGGCATTTACATCTGCACAATATGACAGAATTGCGAAGTCTCAGCATCAACATGGAGGGTTCAAGAGTTCAAGCATTTGACATGTCTGGCTTGGAACACTTGCAATTAATGCAGTTGACAAATTGCGGTTATGAATTTGGGGCACACATTAATCAAGTGATTAGGTTATTGAACACTACAAAATCACTGAGACTGATAGACCTTTCAGACAATTCACTTTGTAAATATACAGATAGAGATCTCTGTCAAATATTTGCAGGTCGTGTCTCACTATATAATCTATTGCTGAAAGACAATTATTTTACAAACCTCCCTACCTGCATGTTTAAAGGACTTTATAATCTACATTACCTGAATCTTCAGAGCAACTTACTTCAAGTGATTCAGAAAGACCTTTTCGAGGATTTACATCAATTAACAAAATTGGATTTGTCACAAAATGCAATAACTTTTATTGATTCAAGCAATCTTGAAATGATGACACCTTTTCAAGGGTTTATGAAACTGGACATTCGACAAAATAACTTTGACTGTAATTGTCAACTGAAAAGCCTTCGTAATTGGCTAACAATGAAAATCATGCAAAAGGGATATAAGTTTAAATATAAACATGAAAAGTGTTCATTCCCAATTTACAAACAAACTGAATATATCCACAATTTTACAATGACATGGTTAGAGTGTAACACAATCAATGTTGTTCAAGTTTCAACAATAACCGGAAGTTTGGTTTTAATAGTCACCATAGTAACACTTTTGCTATTGAAGCATTTCTGGAAGGATATCCAATACAGGAAAATGATCATACTTGCCCGCAAGCATGAACAAGATGTAAATATAGATGGACTTCTCATTGAACATGATGCTTTTGTAAGTTACCATAGTGAAAAACAATTGTGGGTTGAGAATGACTTATGTAATGAACTTGAGAATGGATTAGACATCAAGTTCAAATTGATTTATGATGATCGAATAATGCCTGGTGGTTCATTATTCACCTCTTTGGGGTATGCAATTCACACCAGTAGGAAGATTTTATTTGTGGTGAGTCGTGGTTGGGTAAAAGATGGTATGAATCAATTTGAGGTGGACATGGCTCTGTCTAAACTCCTAGATGACTACAGGGACATGATAATAGTTCTATTAATGGAACATATCCCTAAGGATGAGATGCCTGACAAAGTAAAGATGATTATTAAGCACAATAACTGTCTCAGATGGAGTAACAATGAGAAGAAACAAGCAAAGTTCTGGAGGGATCTCAAATTGGAACTGGGGAAACATCACTTTGAGATACCCATACAAGATGTGAGCTATTAACGACTGACAATGTTGATAGCTTAAAAATGTACAGTATGTTAATTGTTGGCTGAAATCCTTAAAACCAGACTAAAAGCTGATAAAAGAAAGTATAAATGAGTATCCAAATAGATTCTGGTTGCATATAAAATTTAATATCTACAGCTATGCCAAGGCCCATGTATCAAATCTGTCCAAAGATCCAGAACTTCACCAGTTCTTCAATTTTTCTTTTTTATCAAATTCATTTTAGTCAAAATTATCTCTTAAAGATTTCTGCAGTTGGCAGATATATTTCATCTACCTGCTATGTGAAGACAAATCCTGTATCTTAAAAACATGGCCAAGTCAGTATGGGATAAACTGAGTTACATGATTTGGCTCTCTATAATAAACTCAAAAGTATGTCCAATACCTGGTTCTTTGGCCTCTGGGTCAACTGGTTTCTTGAGACTGGTTTCTATATAAAGCGCAGATCCACCTAAAAAGAATTGTCATTTATTATGTAATTTTGTAATATATCATATTGTAAAATAATACTTTTGATGTTTGACACCAAATTAGTTATGATATATATATTTCCATATTATACAATAATAGTACAATAAAGATTCAAGCATCTGTTTGTATATATTTGCTGTGGACAATTTATACTAACAAACATTCTATATTTATTCATTTGATCAAGTCTTCTATGAAAAATTAACAGAAGCTTCGTACAATTAAGAACCGTGGATATAATGATGTCATAGTTAGTGAATAAAGATTTAGCTTTAAATTTAACTTTAATTAAATTATAATTCAACTTTAGATTTAACTAAAAATTTTGTTTATGACCCAAGCTTAGCACATGTAAAGTATTTTCAGGAGACATGTTTTGCTCAAAATTGGAGACTAAATTAATGATAAATTAATGAAAATATTGTTATCACAGCCTCATAACTATACTCACCCATAGCTGTCCATGCTAGTCCCATGACAACACCAGGGGGTGTTGTGTCATACATTCTATCACTAGTGAAGATAGGTTTACCCACAAAGTCTTGGAGGTTACTGTTACTGATTTCTATTTGCTCTGTTTTTTCATCACTAACAATCTTGTATGCTCCTTTACGGTATATCTATGAAAATATACAGCATCATGAGATTGAGATGAACAGGTTCAGTCACAGCTTTGAATAGTAGCAGTAATTCCTTATGATCAGATGACTAGATATGTTTTATTGCTTCTAATTTATATTATTAGCTCAGATATCTAAAGTGATGTTGATATCTTGTGAGGAGAAACAGCTTCTCTTTCTTTGTCTCTTAGAGACTTGCTTCAACGGACCAATACATATAGAGACATAAACTGAACCCAGTGACTGGGTGGAATTACATATTACTTAGTCTTGAATCATGACTTAAGCTGTCTCAACTTTTCATACCTGGGTTACTACATGACTGAATATTTAGTTTGAGGAGTAAGCCAATGAGGGCCATATCCCCAATGTACAACAATATTACTTTTATGATGTTATTCACCTTTTCTATTTGTTTCTGTAGTCCCCTGACACCACTCTCCCTGCAGTACTGTTTGATGAGTGTACGTAGGGCATCAACATCTATATGCATCTTCTCCTGCCCAAGACCTGTAGACTTCTCAGCTTGGGGTATTAGGTATCTCTGAACAGATATGTAAACAATCATTAGTCAGTGCTCCCAAAAAAGGAAGTTCTAACAGTTTCATTTTTACAATAATGACAAAAAGTTGGTTGAAACAATAGCCAGTTTTCACAATTTTTCTCTGTTTCAAGTGGGTACAAATGGATTTTTAGGTGGCTGACCTCAATCGGAGGCAGAAACCCCAAACTGAACTGCTAAAGTGTTCACATTGTGAGGTTAAGCATTAATAGGTCCTAAATATCCCAGAGTCAATAGTAGTACAAAATATTAAAACAAAAAAAATGAAAGATTCACAATTTTTTGCAACTTGCTTTGGGAATACCAAAAATTGATGATTCAATGACACTGTTACACTATATATTTTTAAAGTTGGATCGAACATGTGGGAATAGTTTGTTATTTCTTACCTCTGCAATGGCAACTTTCTCCTCAGCAACATAGCCTGATACATCAATCATCTCCATTCTGTCTCTTAAAGGCTCTGGTATTGTGTCTGTCACATTGGCAGTACATATGAATAGCACCTATGGATACAGTTTGGTAAGGTGCAACTGAGGAAATGGACTTTGATTTAATAATAATCAATAGAACAGGTTTAAATTGACAATCAAAAAATAATCAGACTGAAAGCTGTTACATTTTTCACCCTCTCATTTTCATCTTTTATCTTGAATCTAAATTCAGAAGACATTATAATTGATCAAAACATACCATTTATAAGACAAGTGTAATATTGCTACAAAATTTGAGGTTTACCTTAGAAAGGTCAACTGGTACATCTAGGTAATGGTCCAGGAAGTTGACATTCTGCTCTGGGTCAAGCATCTCTAATAAGGCAGATGCTGGGTCTCCTTGGTAACCCTTTCCTATCTTGTCAACCTAAACATTGATCAATGATTGTATGAATAAACATAATATTTTTAGATGCCAGTAGTAGGCTAGGTTACCAGTTTCATCACCACTGGCTTAATTGGGTACATGGCATGTCAAAGCATAAATAAAATTCTAAATTAAATCCTTCAGGGAATGTGAATCAAACTTTCTGAGTATGATATTTCAACAATTCATTTCATATTTTATAACAAACACTAAGTGGGGAATCTGCTTCACCTAGAATGGTAGAATAGTTTTATTTTTTTTAAATTATGGGATCATAAATATTAAATACCTCATCAATCAATAGCAAGGGATTTTCTGTTTTTGTTTTCTTCAGACACTGGATGACTTTTCCGGGCATTGCTCCAACATAAGTTCTACGATGTCCTCTTATTTCAGCCACATCTGTCATTCCTCCTACACTAAACCGGAAAAACTAAAATAAAACAGAAAAACACATCATTTCTGGAATGAATTCATTATATCCCAAATTTTTAATACTCTTGATTTGTCGAGAATATAAGCATTTTACAGATTATATGTCTCGGGAATCAACAAGTAGATCAGACATTATTGAGTGATATGATCTGTGTTGCTTTGCGGCAGAGCATTAGTACTAAATAAATATTAGTAGCTTTTTGTAACAAAGAAGACTTGCTAAATATTATCCAGCAAATGAATTGAAAATTCCACCACGTGATATCTTACCTCTCTATTGAGAGCTCTGGCTATAGACTTTGCAATGCTGGTCTTTCCTACACCAGGGGGACCATAGAAACATAGTATTTTACCCTGGGTGCTTCCTTTCAGCTTGCTCACAGCTATGAACTCCTTCAACATAACAACAATACAAGCTGTATACAAGAAATGGAAACACATAGATATAGAATACAACATGTAAGTTTTGTCACCCTAAACCGTTTAGGGTGAGTAAAGTGAATGAGTGCAACTTTATCGATGCAAATCTTTATTTTCATAAATATATCAAAAGTAACAGAAAATTAATGTTTTAGTGCAGGACTTGTGTTTTAGAAGCAAATTACAAGTCTACTCTACTTCAAGAATTGGGTGCTGGATTTATCCCAAATCATACATTACACAAAGCATGCCACACAAACTTACAAGAATTCTATTTTTGACATCATCCATGCCATAATGATCTTCCTCTAGTATAACCTTAGCTTGGCCAAGCTCAAGGTTCTCTTCACTGAATTTACCCCAGGGAAGACTAGTGAGCCAATCTAGGTAGTTCCTTGTTACACTGTAATAAATAAATGAAAGAATGATTTTGGTTTCAGTTTCACAATACATGCAACATAAAACAAATAACATTATATCCAAGAGTAGAGCCTTAACATGTCTCATTTTCCAATCTCAAGTCAATGACCCAGCACTATCTATTTATCTACCCCTATTCATCCAAACAGGGAGGGGGTACGTAACATGCTTACTGCATATTTACCCCAGATTTACATTTTAGATTTAACTATTCCTTACTTGAATTCTGATGAATGGTTGTCTAAGAAACCAAGCTTTGTAAGTTCCTCATCAATGACTTCCCTCACATGTTCTGGAATCTCCAAACCCTTGTATGAACAGAAAACAGAAATTAACTATCATCTCTTGAATTGAGAGCTTGTCAGCTGGTTATTGACACCATTTCTTAACTAGGTGTCTAGTTTCTTGAAGATCAATAATATGACACAGCCATTTGAGTTCATCAAGCAAACAATGTCATTTTAGTCTATTTCATTTCTTTTCAGTTCTGAGATGCCATGATATTTTTCGTCTTATTATATATCATGTAAATCATTTTGTAACTTTGGAATAACTTTTAAAATATCTCAAATAAGAATGAATTTAAATATGAAAAGAATATGATTTTTTTATTATTTATTATATATTAGGTGATTCTAATATAATATGTGATGTCATAATAGCTAGAACAATTGATTTACTGGTCTATATTGGAGTATGTATTACCGCTATATTTCATAAATGCAAATAGTTGTTTTTCTTGCCTGTTTATCATATAAGAATCGTAACAAAGACCTTGATTTTATGATTTATGTCAAATAAATGACCTCAAATTTTATTCTGGCCATTGCCAAAGACCTCAATCGCTATGGGATTTCGGTCTTTTAACAATGAACAGAATAAAATTTTCAGTCATATACTACGCTATAAATCATAAAATCTCGGTCTTAATTGAGATAATTCAAGTCTGGTCTTCGTGAGATTTTTTCTCAGCTCCTATGTTAGCTAACAAAGCTTGTTAATACTAAGTAATAATGACAGCAACAAAAGATTGAGTCTTTTCTGTAATGTATAGACATTAAGGGCAACAAATACATGATAACCATCACACTCCCACTTGCTCAGACCAGATGAAAAAGACTAGTCATTACATAATATCAGAGTATGTTGCTAGTAAAACCAAAAGTGGTAAGTATGAGAAAGATTGCATACCTCTAATCTTTTCCTGAACTTCTCCTCAATAGCATCTTTATCATCCTTTTCTAGCCCCAATTCCTTCTTGATGACCTTCAGCTGTTCTTGTAGCATGTACTTCTTGTGTTGCGCCTTCACCTTGTCTTCAACCTGTATGAGACATATAGCATGACATCAGACAAGGCGGAATTCTTACAAATGATAATACCTAATACTACTGAAAATTTAATTATTTTATTCAAACATTTTTATAAACACAATTTCTACTATTTTCGGTCACTAATGTTTTCAATTAATAAGAATACAGCTAAGTCAATATGAAATATATATATGAGCAGCCAATGTTTGATTTATGACCAACTAAATGTTATAATCTTCAACTCACCTCCTTACTGATTTTCTCCTGCAATTTACTCATCTGATATTCTTTCTTCAGTAATGATAATGTCAGCATCAGGCGCTTAGGAACCTAAAACGTTTAGGTAATTCAAAATGCAATTGTAAGATGCAACAAGGGCTTACTGCAAACATTGACCCATTAGACAATGTCCAGTGGATTTTACAATTGGCCATCTGATAATTTCAGCATGTTTAGGAAAATATCAGTGCAACTGCTTTGTAATTCAGTTTGACCAGATCCTGGCTGACACATGTATTATCTGAGTTGAAGGTCAATGAAAGATTTAAGATAACAATTTGAGATTTCAATATACAGTTTAAAGATCTAATAGCAAAGGTTTTGCAAAAATAAATCAATGTAGTATAAAACAAATGTATGTATAATGAAGAAATAAATATATAATGAAAAAAATAGATATGTGTTTGTAATATTGGTATAAACTTAAGATTAAAAAGTGTCACTATCTCTTTCATTTTTCAACAAATATAGGCTCACGTGACATGTGACGCGAGGCAGGCAATTTTGATCTATCATAGACCATATCAGTATCAAATTGCTGATATTTCAACCTCGTCTTGCGAGGCCATTTTGATTTGAAACATCTTGAATTTGGTGTCAAAATGAAGCTGGTCACGCCCACTTTCAGAGTTATCAATGAATCATTTACTACGACTACTATATTCATTTAGGACGCGTGTAAAGTTAACCAATCAGAAAGACAATTGTTCCATATATGGCAGTTCATTAACATATTCGGTGTTTACTACTGCTTTTTGCGTCATGACAACACGAGTAGTAACCAATCAAGATGCCGTATTTTATCACGTGAGTTCAGAGTGACACGCACGCGACATGTTGTCTGAGGTGATCGCGATGTTGAACAATTTCTTCTCGGAATTTGTCCAGAGAAATCAGCGATTCTAAATTAAGGTAGGATCTGCCATTTTTTCCTGTACAAGTTATAACTTATCTCTATCGAATCCTAAAGTTTTGGAAGAAGATATGAAGCGTAGGTTTAAAAACGAAGCGATTAATTTGACGATCTGATTTTGCAATTTGCAATGGCCAATTTACTGCAAGTCCAGTGCATGTATTTGACAAGAGATAGCGCCAAGTCTTGTATCTAAATGCTTGTTAAGCCACTCAAAAACAAGATCCATCTTTTCTAAATTTGATAACTTTGCAGAAAACCTGTTTTCATAATCTGTTTTCCGCGTCTAGATTCAAACTGAGTATGATAATAGGATCGCTGGAATCTTCAGTCAATGGCAACGGGTCTTCATTCCAGAACTCACATTTTTAGTTGATTCTCCGTCATAGTTCTTATCTAAAGTCCCCATATCTGCTCTCTTACTGCCATACTTGCACACATTTCCCCTCCTTAAATTGTCTTCATTCAAATTACACCCTCTCACCGATTTATATAGCCATTTCCCAGAACCCGGGAATCAGAATCGCTGATGTTTGCCATAGTGAACATATTATATGTACTGTAATATCTGTACATTGCCTGCTACGCGTAATGGTCACGTGACTAGCGCGATACAGGAAAAATGGGGAATTTCGAAACAACAATTTTTGGGCACTTTTATTGCAAATTTCAGGTATTTATAAAGTGTTTGTGGTATAAAATATAATCCACAGACATAAATGAACATCCAAACTACATATTTCATTAAGTTTTGGAGCCTTTTTTGCTCTTAAATTAACATCTTTAAATACAGAGATTGTCTGAATATCTCACTTACATCCATTTCCTCAATGACCTCCTGCAGTTCATGTGATTCAGCACTAGTAAGAGCAGCCCCTAAGTCAGCTAGATACACAGGATTGTCTATTACCCTCTGTCCAGCTTGAATCATTTGGGCCACTGATTCCCTAGAAAAATGAATTTAAAGATGAGAATGATGGACAGCCCCTATTATTTATTTTATTTATTTATTTGCCAAACACTTTTTAAGCAGTGGCACAATGGATAAATTCCAGTGTGGCAGTACATACAACAAATAGATATACATAAAATACAATGCAGATAAATAAAATACATGTAATATGTTAATTGTACACATGTTATTTGATTTGATTTGAAAACTATATTTATTCTGGGTAGCTCTATCAGTACAAAACTGATCTTACTAGAGGCCCAGTGTTATGAGTTTACTCTGTCAGCTTGATACACGTGAGTGAGGATTGTCTACCATCTGGTCCACTCATATCCAAGAATAAAGATGTTTTTTTTTCCAATTATTTTTCCAATGATAACAAGATCATTATTAATGTTGCACTGAGTAGAAAGATCACAAAAAGTGGTACATTTTGACAACTTTTCGATATTTTATAGTGACTTGTTGAATAACAGTCAACAGGAAAACATGTACATATTCATATATATTTTTAAATGCTGGACAACCTGTTAAAGTGTTTACCTGTATAAAGGGTTCATGGCAATGATGTCCCTTATAGTCTTGACAATCTCAGCAGTTAGAGCCTGTAAGATACAATATGAACCACATTAATATTTACGTTGAATTCCATGATTTACTTACTACATGTATGTTTATTCATGGGCATTCCAACTAGAGTGTAGTTGAATGCCCATGGTTTATTCAATGGCAGTTTGCATTTTGTCTCTGTCATTTAAACAAAATATGCTTTCATATGACTATATTTATCTACTTTTTGTGTCAAATTTGAAACCGATCTATCTTGGAATATTTGGAAGCTAGCCAGATTCATATTAATTTCTAGATGAAGTAAAAAGGGAAAAAAGCCTTAATGTATGTTTTAAGAGATTTTATTTTGTCTAAAATCTATGATATCTTGGAATGTTTGCATCTAGCACAATAAGTAGATTTGAAACTACTTATGGGTAATTTAAATTCAAAGATAACAGTTGTACCGCACCAGTCACCCTGTTGTACCCTACTGGTCCATTATTGGTAGCTGCATATACCAAGGATGTATCAAGGAAAGTTTGAGCTAAAGAACTGCCATTTTACTATTTTCTTGGATGAGGCCAAATGGCATTATCCTTATCAAGCAGAACATATCTTTGCCATATGTGGCAAAATGATGCAAGTTTACCATTTCTGGATACTATCATGACAACACCATGGAATATGCTAGTCTTTATTGAAAGTAAGATATTATTGACAAACATATACCTTTTTACAATTCAAGGTTCTTTTGAAAATACTTGTACAACATGATTATCATGGAATCAAGTTAAAATTCTTAGGGAATACAATTCAGTAAAGGCAATACAATTTACATTATTATTAACCGAATGAGCCTTATACATGTAGTTCCATATATTTGATAATGTGAACTGTAACAAGATGAATGTGCCTTCATGCTTAAACTTACTGCTCACACAATTTCAAGACCACTATCAATACTTTTTAATAAACTTCTTACAAATAAAACATTTCCAAATTGTTGGAAGACTGGAAGCGTCTGCCCAATATTCAAGAAAAATGACAAAACTAATATTACGAATTATAGACCAATAACATTGTTAAGTACCATTTCAAAACTCTTAGAAAAAATTCTAGCTGACCGAATAAAAAAACACCTTTTGACCAATGAACTCCTTTTTAAACACCAGTCTGGCTTCTTACCCGGACATAGTACTCATTCTCAGCTACTGGCGATGGAGCACTTTCTTTCATATAACTTTGATCAAGGTAAAGCAACTAAAACAATATTTTTGGACATTGCATCTGCGTTTGACAAAGTTCCGCATAAACTATTACTACATAAGCTAAAATCCTATGGTATCCATGGACAGCTATTCAAAATTATTGAATCTTATCTTAGTGATAGAAAGATGTTTGTAAATATTAGTGGTGATTCATCAGTCTCATCTGAATCTGGATTTATAAACTGTGGAGTACCTCAGGGCTCCATACTTGGTCCTCTTTTCTTCATCCTCTATATAAATGACCTTCCTGATAACTTAAACGGACAGTGTTACATCTATGCGGATGATACTTCTCTTCATTTTTCATTTGATCCTAAGAATCCTCATCAAATTGATAATATTGTGAACTCGAGTCTCCAGAATATTGAGCTTTGGTCGAAAACATGGGACTTACAGTTTAAGCCTGAAAAAAGTTGTGAAATCATTTTTCATGGATCCAAAATGAAACTAGACAATGTTAGTTCATCTACTCTAAATAATATGGAAATTGAGAGAGTCAATGTGCACAAACATCTTGGTTATACTTTTGACCCTTGTCTAACTCATAGACAGCATATAAATGATATTTTTGACAAAATTAGTAAAATGCTTGGTCCATTAAAGGCACTCAAAAATATGATGACTTCTAAACACATTGAAACTATTTTTAATTCTTTCATTCGTCCACATTTTGAATATGGAACTGTCCTTTACAATACAGCTCCTAAGTACCTCCTTCAAAGACTAGACAGATTATACTATCAAGCTGCACTATCTTGCTCTGGCTGTCTCCATGGAAGTAGTTTCGAAAAGGTGCTTTCTTTACTTCAGTGGCCCACTCTGGAAACCCGGCGAAAAATTCAAATAAATAATCAAATGTTCAAAATAGTTAATGGCCCTGTTCCAATATACATTGATGAAATTTTTGAAAAATTCCGTAACCCTAGGGGTCGTGATCTTCGTGAACACCGTGAATTCAGATTACCTGTCCGATGCTCAGAAACCTATCGTAAATCAGCAGTTCCAGCTGCTATTTCTAGCTGGCTTAGCCTTCCAAATAAGATCAAACTTTGTAAAACTCTTCAAACCTTCAAACATAAACAAAAGTTATTTTTTTCGGATCAACCTCAAAGTATAACTACAAGCCAACTCAAGAAGTCATGAAATTATCATTAATCGACTTAGAGCTGATCTCCTGTTAAAAGCCCAGTTATATGCCCACAACTTTAATTTTATTGATACTCCTAATTGTACATGTGGACTTCCCCAGACCTTGAAACATGTTTTCTTTCACTGCCTACTATTAACTGCAGAGAGAGAAAAGTTATTTAAAGATATCAATGAAATAGCACAAATTGAACAGAGAAATCAAAATTATTACTTGAACTTATTTAAGCATGGAAGTCTTGACATCTCCTTAGATAAAAATTCACTTATTTTGACAACTGTTGCAACTTTTCTTCACACCAACAACTTGGCTCTCAAAACCTAACGAGTACCGACCCAGCTTCCAGACCTGATATCACCCAAGACCCAGGAAACTTATGTGCCTGACCAGCACACATTTGCTATTGTATTACATTATTTGTGCTTATTTGCTCCTCTATAATGCTGAAAGGCGATCGAGGAGTACTTGTGTAAAATATTTTACTGATATAAATAAATAAAGTAATGAATAAAAAAAAAAATAAAAAAAATGTGCCTTCCCTCAACTGTTCTAAAGAGATTTACAAAATTACCTTTATTTCATCAGTTTGTTCAAAATGAGCGTGGATAAGATTATCTACTTCAACCATAAGGATCTTGTTTTTGTCCACGTCTTTCACCTTCAGTTTGGGTGCAGGTTCATCAGGGAGTGGACTCTCCTTCTTCTTCCCTCTCCTAACACCTGTTTTCTTCTTGCCATCTGGATATGTAAAGTATAATAATATTGAGCATTGCATCGGATTATGCCTTACAATTGACGAAGGATAAAATTCATTGTTGTGAGGGACTTGAGAAGTTAACACAAGAACACAAATGTGTACAAAATGTCCCCACCAATGGGTGATCCCATCAAATGGTTATCCTGAAAATGAGTAGACAAGACTTTACCAAGACAATTTGAGGACGGAAAATCCAAAATGGCCACCTTAAAAATTTTGAATTGATCCGTCACACAGTTAAACCTGCACATCGCTCCAAAACGCAATATGTTGACATATATTGTTTTTACATTTTTAAACTTTAATATAAAGTTTATGTAAATAAAAATTGTTTTTTCTGCGTTATATCAAAGAACAATCATTTCGTTAAAAAAAATAAAAAGGCTAATGCGGGATTCGAACCCGGGCCTCCTGCGTGCTAAGCGAGAATTGTACCGCTAGACTACGGTGTTATTCTGAATGGTGGAAGAAATTAAACGCTACTTATTTTGAATGCTATGATTCAGAAGTGACGTCACATTCTTCATTTAGAAACCTTTTCAAAATCATATCGTCGGCGCCGATCGAAGCAATTCAATGAATAATCTTTGAAATGACACATTTATCGTAAGTATTTCTACACAAGATTTGCCCCATTTGTTCATCATTCTATAATCTTTCATTAAGCTCAAAATGATAAAGTTCACCCCCGAAACAACCCAAGATTGCGTTTTGGAGCGATGTGCAGGTTTAACCAGAAAACATGTAAACAAGACTTTACAGACAAGATTTTAGGATGAAAAATCCAAAATGGCTGCCTTGACATTTACCCAGAGTGTCAAAAAACTAATCTGTTTCTAGATTTTCAAACTAAGAAGAATCATCCCTGAAAATATAACATTGATCTACCGAATGATTCACCTGAAAATGCGTAGACAAGACTTTACAGACAAGATTTTAGGACAGAAAATCCAAAATGGCTGCCTTGACATTTACACAGAATGCCAAAAAACTAATCAGATCTAGATTTTTATACTAAGAATCATCCCTGAAAATTTGAAATTGATCTACCAAAAGGTTTACCTAAAAACGCGTAGACAAGACTTTACAGACAAGATTTAAGGACGGAAAATCCAAAATGGCTGCCTTGACATTTACCCAGAATGCCAAAAAACTAATCAGATCTAGATTTTTATACTAAGAATCATCCCTGAAAATTTAGAATTGATCCACCAAACGGTTCACCTGAAAACATGTGGACAAGACTTCACAGACAAGATTTTAGGACGGAAAAATCCAAAATGGCAGACAATAAAAAAGTGATTATGAGTTTTTGCTGATTTCTTTTTACAAAATTATCACATATATCTACTGTTAACAAAAACATAGGCTTTTACAAGAAAGTACATCTGAAATTATTTATAAAGCTACTAAAAAGTTAAAGTATGAAAACTCAAAAACACCATTCAATATGATACAAAGTATTATCGTGCGCTAACTTTTCTTAAGACATTCAAAATGGCTGACATGACTGAGCTAACAGGTCCAAAACCTAATCAGATCTAGAATGAAGTGAGCTGAACAAGATGTTAAAGTTTTAAAAGCAACTGTGAAGCTGGTGGGGACATAAAAAGTAGTACTGTATGCTTTGATCATAACACTTAGGCAAACCAGAAACCATTTTGAAAAACAGGACTTTTTACTAAACTATTTTAAACAGCACTTTGTGCTTTTTGTAATTTAATATTTCTACAATCAATTACGAATCAAAGATGTGGTGGGGACATAAAAAGTAGTACTGTATGCTTTGATCATAACACTTAGGCAAACCAGAAATCATTTTGAAAAACAGGACTTTTTACTAAACTATTTTAAACAGCACTTTGTGCTTTTTGTAATTTAATATTTTTACAATCAATTACGAATCAAAGTTAAGTTATTTCCCTATGTACGAAAAAATGATCCTCAGCCAAGGTCTATTCATTATTTACCTTGCTGGTGTTGTATTGCCGATTTAATTGAATCTTTGATCTTTGAGTATGCAGTGTCATCTGTCTTTTCTTCAATCTCTGCTTCGCCATCCACAATGTCAGTTATCTTGATCCTAATAATAGAAACTGTGTATATGTCACCTAGCTATTAATAATACATTTCACATGATTTTGATTCTAGCTATTTTAACTAAGCTATTTTAGATATTCCAACAGATATTTATAAGATTTGAAAATTTAAACTGCAAAAATTAAAGTAAGTAGTATTGGTTATCAAAAATAATGTACATGTATTGTTTAAATCTGTCTTAATAGAAAACCTACAATGTGTCAAATTATTATTGAGAAAGCTGTTCGAGCAGATCTGTTGGTGACATGTTGACAGGGATTTCATTAAAATATTTTGTAAACAACTGGGGAAAATTGTCAGTTGCCTGCTTATGATTTGTACATGTACTGTAATAAATCTCACCTTCTATGCCCCATGACAATCATCCTGAGTTTATTGCCAAGATCCTGTAGTTCATGTATCTGCACAAATGTTCCAATGTTATAAATGTCATCTAGCTTTTCTACAGTATCACCTTCATCACTGAAATAAACTTGCTTATATGTATGTTGATCAACTGAGCTGATTTTAAATGTTGCCATCCTCCAAACAAACGGTGTAAAACCAAAGTACTTGTACAGTAGATGATATCTGGAGCCTATCTGCAGTAGATGATGGAACTTATCAACTGAATTTTTAATTCCAAGAATTTTTCCATAGATGGTACAAATTGGGTCTATGATAGATTTTATTCAAATGGTTATTCACTGTATCTGGCCCTACATACCTGTCATCTTTCTTTAGGAAAGCTCCAGCGAATGGTTGGTTCAATCCCACCTTTCTCCTTATTAATTCCATCAATGGTTTATCTGAAATCTAAAATGTTACTAGTTTTAAAGGTGTAGCCTTAATGGAGTATAATGGTTTTCCTTGAAAACAACATTGAACATCTTGTATATCAATTTGCAGTCATTAATTCTTCAATGGCAATTTTGACTGACTCTGGATCAAATCATGGGCATTCAATAGAAGGTATGCAACTTGATGCTATTACATGAGAACTTCAAAATGAACAGTGCCATGCTTCCTTTTTTTGGTAATATTTCAAAAAGATTTTGATTAAAGTATATGTTAAACTTTATAGCATTATCTTGAGTAAAAATCAAGTTTGAATTTGATTAAAACATGAAACATGATTAATGTCATTTAAAAGTAAACAAAAAAGACCAATAAGGAAAAGAGGTATCAAAATGTTCTCTTCGAGTTTTGCATTGTGGGTAATTATTCAAGAACACATTCCAATAAAAATATAAATAAATATAATATATAAATAAAATATATATACAGTTTCACTATTGCCATAATTATGATGAATTCCATTTTCTATAATTATCAACATGTATGCAGATAATCATGTTTTTATTTTTGGCTTATTTCTTAAAATCGTACATGAAAAGCACAAAACAAGATTTTCCTTGGAATGTGTAGAGGAAGCACCTTTTCTCCAACTTTGAAAACCTAAGACAAGGCTTATGTATGAAATATGGGAAGTTGCCTACCCTTCTATTGAAAGCCCATGATCAAATGTAAGTGTATTCTGAAAAACCTACATGTACTCAAAGGCATTTGTTCATACTTGCAATCTGTGTTATTTCTATGACTCATTTCTCACCTCAATCATTTTGATGAACTTTGGGAATACTGGATTCCTCTGAATAGGAATAACGGGGACCTTAGGGAAATAGTCCGGAACTGTAATTGGAACCAGTGGGAATTGATTTGTTGTTGAGAACTGTTCAATGTTTGGGATATTTTGAGAAGGTGCTTCATCCTCTCCGCCACTGTCCTCTCCATCCTCACCCCCTGATGCACTAGCAGCTCCATCTGATGGTTTACTCCCAGAACTACTTTCAGAACTATAAAACCGTGTAGCAACACCAACATTGTTTGATGATATATGTGAATTTGATGAGCACAAGCTTAAAGACGACAACTGTCTGAGGTATTTGCCTCTTGTTAGCAATGGAGTAGTGTTTATTATCTTTCTGGAAACACTGGACCCTTGTTGACATTGACATGCTGTTCTGGAAATTATTTTTTGAGTTTGCGTAATGCTTTTCAATGGTTGATATCTCAAAGAGTACGATTCGGATCGACTAGAAATTTCCCCTAAACTTCGGCCATATCTATACGCCCATCTTGCATTCCATAGCTTAGATATACCTGGTGGTAACATGCCGAAACCTTAGTTTTTATAATGCGTGAGCTGCTCGAAAATTCGACCGGTACTTCTGGCGGAAGTTATGATTCTACTAAAATACGAACGCATATAAAATTGAACGTTCGCATTCATAATAGTCTACCAGTGTGTCTGCCGTTCAGAATAAGGAGAGGCATCAAAAGTTCAATGTCTGATAGGAAACTAAATAAATCTAGTTTTGAGTTGGACCCCCCTCCCCTCAAAACTAAATACAATGAAAGTTGATCGCGGACTTTTCACATGTTTTAGCGACTCAATTTGGACTTTCATGGGGGCAGTACTATAACTTATTTATTAAATAATTCTTAAAACATGTGCCAACAATAATAGGCATAATATCCCATGTTGCATGCATCTTGGTGAAGAAGGCATCTGGTAAAGTCTTTATTTTTAAACCATTCCAAGGCATTTTGAGTTGAAATTGCAACTTAAAATTAAATGTTGAAATTTGTTGAATAGCAAACTGAAATGGCTTTGACCCCCTCCCCCCAAACTAGATTTACTTAGTTTTCTATCAGACATTGATCTTTTGATGCCTCCCCTAAGTTAACGTTACTAGAAAATCGCTCTCAATAGGAGTTTTGTGTCCTTTTTTCTTCACAGGTGTAAAATACAGTCTCGAATTAGAATGCTGAATAGTACAGTTTCTAAGTAAAGCTGACGTAATAGATGTCACCCTCGTCATTCTTCGTTTTGCTTGGGCCAGACTGCCATATCCATCCATGTTATGAAAAAAGTGATGGTTGAATCTGTCTGAAACCCAAATGGCAAACTATGAGATGACCCTGTCAATGTAGCTATTGTGATTTATCAAAAAAAATTTGGTTGTCAAACGCAAAAACCAAGGTTTTAAAGAATCTTAGCATTGCATCAATGGAGATTTGGCCCAAGTTTTTTCAAATCGTCATGGAAATTGATTTAAATGACATAACTGTATGAATGAAATTATTGTGGAAAATTTTCACTGAATTTAAATATGCAATTAAAAAGAAAGAAAACTTAGTCGTTAGAGGTTAAAACGTTCAGCTTTGATGAAAAATATTGTTACTGTGGCTACTCGTGTTTTGGAGAGGCAAGGCAAATTACTAAAATATTTGAACATACACTAAAGTGTTCATACAGCGTATGTGTTAATACAAGCATCATTAGATCAGATATGTCAATTGTCCTAGTCAGAGAATTTTTTGTGTTAATGAAAACACAGAATGTCTTCTGCGCTAAGGGCTGATGTATTGTATTGTATTGTATTGTATTGTATTGTATTGTATTGTATTGTATTGTATTGCATAAACTACAAACATCACTTACACTTTCACCAAATATCTGAAACTTAAATTCCAAGATCAGAGAAGCGATACTCGTTTGTATGCATTTCCCGCGGGGCAAAGGAACATCAGTTTAGAAATATCTATTCTGAATTCCATTCCCCGCCACCCAAGGGGTTCGTCATGGAAATTGATTTAAATGACATAACTGTATGAATGAAATTATTGTGGAAAATTTTCACTGAATTTAAATATGCAATTAAAAAGAAAGAAAAATTAGTCGTTAGAGGTTAAAACGTTCAGCTTTGATGAAAAATATTGTTACTGTGGCTACTCGTGTTTTGGAGAGGCAAGGCAAATTGCTAAAATATTTGAACATACACTAAAGTGTTCATACAGCGTATGTGTTAATACAAGCATCATTAGATCAGATATGTCAATTGTCCTAGTCAGAGAATTTTTTGTGTTAATGAAAACACAGAATGTCTTCTGCGCTAAGGGCTGATGTATTGTATTGTATTGTATTGTATTGTATTGTATTGTATTGTATTGCATAAACTACAAACATCACTTACACTTTCACCAAATATCTGAAACTTAAATTCCAAGATCAGAGAAGCGATACTCGTTTGTATGCATTTCCCGCGGGGCAAAGGAACATCAGTTTAGAAATATCTATTCTGAATTCCATTCCCCGCCACCCAAGGGGTTCGTCATGGAAATTGATTTAAATGACATAACTGTATGAATGAAATTATTGTGGAAAATTTTCACTGAATTTAAATATGCAATTAAAAAGAAAGAAAAATTAGTCGTTAGAGGTTAAAACGTTCAGCTTTGATGAAAAATATTGTTACTGTGGCTACTCGTGTTTTGGAGAGGCAAGGCAAATTGCTAAAATATTTGAACATACACTAAAGTGTTCATACAGCGTATGTGTTAATACAAGCATCATTAGATCAGATATGTCAATTGTCCTAGTCAGAGAATTTTTTGTGTTAATGAAAACACAGAATGACTTCTGCGCTAAGGGCTGATGTATTGTATTGTATTGTATTGTATTGTATTGTATTGCATAAACTACAAACATCACTTACACTTTCACCAAATATCTGAAACTTAAATTCCAAGATCAGAGAAGCGATACTCGTTTGTATGCATTTCCCGCGGGGCAAAGGAACATCAGTTTAGAAATATCTATTCTGAATTCCATTCCCCGACACCCAAGGGGTTCATATGCGACTCGACACTCTGCAAAGGTAGGGAACGACTGGATTCTCATCCCTATTTTCCACTGTGTAGTTTCCAGTTTAGTTACATCATGTGACGAGTATATGGGATTACACAAGAACCATACAGGTATAGATCATTGATGGAACGGCGAATGATTCATACAATTTATCAGAGGTTAGAGGGCGCATTCCACGACCTACGTTAGACCCCAGTCCCTGAAGGGCATATCATTTACGCAATCCCTTGTTAATACTATCAGTAACGTATTGTAAGGGGCAGGCCGAGATGAATTGTGCTAATCCTTGTTAATACTATCAGTAACGTATTGTAAGGGGCAGGCCGAGATGAATTGTGCTATTTTTTGTTGGTTCTGGAATATCATTGATCATGACGTCATTTGTATGATTTCCTCTTTTCTTTCCAAAAGCTAGAAATTGATACGAGGTGTAGTACCTAAGGTATGCTATCTGACAGGGCCGATAGCATATCTTGGGTATAGTACACCTCGTACCAATTTCTAACTTTCGCCGCCCCCTCCTCGTCTATATATATGTATAGTTTGCGTTATGATTGAAAATAGCTGGTCACAAATTCAGCACACCATTGTGAAGCTTATTTCGCATTCTTTAATCTCGTTTACTTTCTCGTTTAATGTTTAGTTTAATATAGTTTATTTTTGTGTCACAAGCAATAATATTAAAATACATTTAAAACACTTTTTTTTAAAAACATTGCTTCTAGCCGATGCCGGCTTATGAGACACCAAGTTGATACATGTGTGGGTAATATTAAAATTCCCATGTGAAAATTACTAAATGCACAATAAGACAGTGATAGAGACCATAATTTTTGTATACTGAGTTCACTGTTTACTTCCACTTACTAAGAGGAGACATCTTCCCCAAGGTTGATGTTCCTGGGAGGAAATGGAAAGAGAAACCCTGCTTAATCAGTGATATAAGGGCCCTCTGGTTGGCCCAATACCCTCCTGAGGGGTCCCCCATATCACAGTGGATCTACAGATTTGCATCTTGTATATATTTTGGCAGTATCACAGTTCTAAATAGTATGTAAAAGTGCTGTAAAGTGGCAGAATCAATATCATATGGCCTTTATCCCCAGACAAGCAACTTATGTATAATTGAATATCAACAAATAGAATACAGTATGAGAAAATATACATTATAATTTGTTGTTATGGAATTATCTCAAATAGAGGTACTGTTAAAGTCTTTCTAGATCAAAGTTTCTTTTACTGAACATCTTAAATAATGTACTTGCAAAAGCTCTCTGTATACAGGGCGTGTGCATAAGTCTAGTAAACAGCAGAATATGATCATTTGAACCAGTATCAATGCTAGGGGCCAGCTTATTAACAATAGCCAGAAATTTTTTCCTCAAAACATTGTAGTGAGAGCATTTGAGAGTGAAGTGTATCTCGTCCTCAATCTCATTAGAGTCACATAAAGCACATTTTCGATCCTCAAGAGGTGTATTGGTATAACGGCCAGTTTCAATGTGTAGTTTCAATGTTCCAGTTCTCAGTTTTGCAAGAATACTTCTATGATGGCGTGGCATAAACATTTCAATGTATGCTTTAGTTGATGCACCATATTTAAATTGGCGATATGTTCTCAGTTTATTGCCATTAGTTTCATTATTTTTATCATTCCAGATATTTCGAAGAAAAGGATCAGTAGTCTGTAGTCTGTAATCAATTACATGTAATCCGGGCATGTGATGTAATGAAATTACGTGTAATGTATACAACTTTTAATAATAAATTACGAAATTAGGTGTAACGCATGGAACTTTTAACAATACTAGTAGGTGACGAAAGTTTCGAAGACTGGGACAATCATATACATTTTTTGTTATGATTTGACTGAAAAGTTAGCTACGCATCCATCTCACCACCATTGAAAACCATTATACACACTGGTGATCCACTCGATTACGCTGGTTACCGAAACGGTTCGTTTTGGTAACAAAATGTCGGAACATCGAAGGTACGATTTTTCTTTTTTCCTTATTTCACACGTTGTAGGCAGAATTCTCACGACATTTTTAACACAAACGTGTATTAGTATCATATGTTTAGGAAAATGTACATATTTGCGAACAAATAGTTCAGAAGACGACAGAATCGTCGATTTAATTCCTCACTTAAGTTACATAAACGGTTTTCGAAAAACAGTTAAGATCTGCACTTTTAACCCAAACCGTTTATGTTACTTAAGTGAGAAATTAAATCGACGATTCTGCTATTTTTTCGCAAACATGTACATTTTCTAAAGCATATGATACTGATATACGTTTGTGAGAAAAAACGTCGTGTGGATTCTGCCTACAACGCGTGAAATAAGGAAAAAAGAAAAATCGTACCTTCGACGGTCCGACATTTTGTTACCAAAACGAACCGTTTCGGTAACCAGCGTAATCGAGCGGATCACCAGTGATACATGAATTAAATCCAACTTTCAAGAATCAACAAAAGGCGCATCCTTGATTAAAGGGCATTTCACTTCATTCCACATAGCTGCTGTATAACAGCAACGTAATTTGTAATAAATTCTGCAGCACTTTGCAAGTTAAGGTAAAATTTAATTCTAAAAATTCAAAAACTTCGATCCTAAGCAAATGATAAGGAATTTTGTGAATTTGAAAACTTCAATGTTGCGGGATTTTGCGGGATATTTGAAGGGATTCGCTCGACCCGCGAATAAGCGTAATGTTGATCAAATTCGCGGGATAATCCCCGCGAAGCGCGACACTTGACAGTCCTGCTTCTATAATGTTGCCCCGCCTACCCCAAACTCGAGTTACCATAGTAACCATATTTTTCCAAAATAAGATGGATTGATGAAACTTGGAATATTGATATATGTGTTATCATTTTACGTACCCCATGAAAATGTCAAGTATGAAGTCATTAAAATCTTAGAGATTTTTTCTCAGAACTTATTGATTAACCTCCTATAAAAATATTTAAGCTTGTGAATCATAGGCCAAAGTAAAAGTACCAGCCATAAGCTCAATATATCTTCCATGGTTCAACTCTCTGAACACCCATTCAGCAAACCTTTTTAACATAGAAATGACATTAGTGTAACATTTATTATATCTGATCCAGTTCCTAAATGGATTTCTTCAACATAACAATATAACAGTCAAAAATATATGATATATTACTTTTAAGCAAGTTGTTTTATTGTTTGCATCATTAACATAAAATATAACTACATGTAGTAAAATTACATAATACATGTTTTTGTCAAAAGCAATCATGAAATGTAAACAATCACAAATATGTCAATATCCAACAAAAGCTGAAACTAAGGTAATTTTGACATTCTACTGCATAAATAAAATTACTCAAAAATCTAGGTTTAAGGTATTTCAGTGTTCTCCTTTTAAACCAAAACAGACAATTTTTCCATCTCAGTAGATTGTTGAAGTCTATTGTAGTTTGAAATTGTACTCATCAACTACATTAGGATAGTGTCCCAGGCTTTTCTGTATGCCACATAGTTTGTTAGTTTTCTAATTGTTCTTTAGTGTATGCCACTTCTGTGAACCTAACTCCCTGTATTGTATGTGCATCGTGCACAAATATATTACATACTATTTGGCAGAATTAATGGTAGTCCTATAATAAATATCCTAATTTTTCCTATATTATTTGGTAGATACTCTGCAACGTTTTGACCATGAAAAGTTATCTCCATAAGATTTCATTTTCAATTTGGGTTGCCTTTTCTCCTCAACTGAATATTCCCAGCCTGAAAGAGAACAGATAGAAAAGTATTCTACAGGGTGTTTCATAGTGACCAAATAGAAACTAATTGTCGAGGCTTGTCACAATTGAGATTCAACCAAGCAATATTTAAATTTCTAAATTTCTTATGTTAGGTACATGAAGCAGTGAATTTGAATTTGTAATGCTAATATTTTCTTATATCAGATAAAAAATTATATTTTGCATAGACAGATAGTGATGAATATATAAAATAGTTTTAATTCATTTTGAACACTTACTATTTTTCTCACAAAAGGCAATAGCATCTTCCTTGGAGCTAAAATCTACATGTACGTTGGATAAAGGATCACCACTGAAAAATAGAATGCACAAATTTTAAAAGCACTGTTAAAATGTTTCAATAAACCAATAAAATCGTCCTATATTTACAACAATAATTTTCCCTTCATAATATAAGTCAATGTACTGTACATAAAAACATTTGCTAAATGTAAATTACAAGATTATAGATATGAGAGCTTAGGATACATACGTTGAAGTCCATCCCATTAATGGATTCTCCCATCTCTCCCGTGTTTCAAACTCGATTCTCCATTTCCTTGTGTTATATGTGCCAGACTGCATTGCATTACGAGCTGGGGTGAAGATGCGTACATGTCTAGTTGTGATGTGTTCCTCTGGGACACCACTTAACACAGAGATATCAACGACCTGGTATGTACAAAACAATAACTGTACAAACATTTAACACTACTAAATATATAAACACTGGGTGGAATCAGGAAAACAACCAGTGTCTTAAATTGAATAAGAGACTTGATGCAAGCCTCTACATTGGTAAAATATGTCTAGAGTATGATGGAGTAACTAAGTACTGATAACTTAGTTTCATTTATACTTTTATTTCTTGCAATCAAAGCCTAATGTCAACTAGATAAATACTGTCAAACAAGAACATTTTATTGCCGAAAAATGTCTTAAAAATTATGTCAAGTTATAGAATTTTTTTACACCTAGTGACTCCAAACAATTCATAAATTTACCTTGCACATAAATGTTCTTACTTTGCAGCAGGGTGTAGCCAGGTGCAAGCAAGTTGATTATTCATACAACTATACTGTTACCCTGTTGGCCTTTACAGTAAGCAAAATATGTGTACCTTTGATGGGTCAATCTCCAATAGTCCATCATGTACAGGTTTGCTGTCTACAACATCTGGGATGTTAGTCCTCTCAGCACTGAGACCTGGACGCTCTATTTTAGGGATATAAGTATCTGATTCTGAGTAGTTGCGGCTTCTGGAATTTTATATTTAAAAAGGATTAGTCAAATGTATGTTTCATTGAAAGCTGGCTAATCCTACAGGTTATCAGCAAAACAAGGACATTTAAAGTTTTCATTGAGAAATATTGCACCTTGTTTCAAGATGGCGGAAGGCTTTAGAAAGGAAATTACCAAAATAACATTGGGTCTGGTGCTGCAGAGCCTGAATTATACACCAGGCAATAGATGAAGGTATTTTGAGAGTTGAAATAAGTTAAATAACGCGTAAATTCTGCCTATGAACCCATACGAATTGGAATCAACCGCACAATGGTGGTGGTACGATTAATTCTCAACTCGAATAATCACTGGTCTGGGTGAAAGTTTGAAAATCTATTTTTGTTTTCAACTCTGATTTTGACTCGTGTTTGACTTCAGCTCATTTCACTAACATAATCAAGTCAAAGGCAATATTACTATTGTTCAAAAGTTTACCAATGTATTTGCCAAAAGTATTCAAATTTTGATATTTCTCACTTTCATGCTGCAGGAACCCATCTTGAAGATGGTAAATAAAATAAAATAACATAACATAATAGCTGCAGCCTCGGTTTGGTTTTCAAAATTTTGTTGAATTTCATCACAATAAATGCCTTGAATGTTAAGTTTAAAAACTTATAATACTCTCAAATATTTGAATTAATTTGGATCCTTACAGAACTATAGTCCAGGAACTGGACAACAGACAAGGAGTTTGTTAAAAAATTATTGAAACAAGAAAATGCAGTAAACTTCTCATTAGGGCTGTGCCATTTGACTGAAATCGGTCCGAACCAGAGGGTTTCGGAACAAACATCGGAACCTTACCTACTACTATTGCTTTGAATCGTTAATAATTATTCCAGTGTTTCCCCAGTAATGTTTTCCATCAAACTGTGTCAAATATACATGTGTATTAGTCGCATAAATATAATAAATAGCGATGAAATCAAGTTTTGTTTTGATTTTATTTTGATTTTAGAGTACCTTGTATGACCTTCAGTTTTCACCGGAGGTAGGAATCGACGGGGCGGATCACTCACGAATAAAAATAAATAAATTTAATTACGATCTTTACATAGTCGCCTATCAAATGACAGATATTTTACAAGTACTGTGCGTGTACATTTCATATATATTTTCATTTGCCATCTAGATTTACATGAAAATGAAATGGCTGGCAAACCAAATCATGAGGAAAGGGGGATAAAAGATAGATAGTTTTTAAGTTAACCTTTTTTTGCACGCAATCGATCAAAACAATTATAAATAAAATAACAATTATAAAACGAAGTGCAAATTATGCCAAGACACTGTCGTATCAACTTATGAAGCAGGTTTCGTTTCTCTTTTGTTTTTTTTTTCATTTTAATCCGAAAGGGGTTCCGAAAGTTCAGACTCCGAACCGATTACGGCACAGCCCTACTTCTCATAGAGAGCTCCAAGTCCAAAAATTGCCCTCTCCAGGCCCTGATAGATTGATAGGTTTTTCATACTGTAGATACACTTAATGTGGCCGCTACCATTTTAATTTGATGGACTGCCAATTAAAAATCCGCCGATTTTCACTGATTAATTTTGGAAAATCGCCAGGGAATTTGTAATTTGTCATTATTTCACTTGTGTATGTATTCCTATTTGGATGTCCGTGCTATACCAATACTTACTGTTAGTAGAACACATGAATCTGAAATGCTTATTTCCAGATCAATGATAAAACTTGAGCTCAGTCTTAACTCCGCCAAATTAAATAGTCGCAATTTTCACAGGTTGTTTTCACAATGTTAAATTGATGATTTCCATCCATGTTGCCTGTTTTTATATCCATAACTGTTACTGGTATACACGCAAAATAGTTAATAATTGCAAACCTACTGTTTGTTAATGCAGTGCAACAATGACGGTTAATTTCTGATACGATTTGCTTTTTCGATGTTACCAGAACTGACCGACATTTTCTTTAATTTTGTGTTGATTTATGTGTTTTTATATTATTGTATCCGTTGCATGTCATCACGGAAAAATGGTTTTGATGGATCCAGAACTTGCAATAAAGGAAAGAATAGTAAGGAGGTTAAACCCAATAACGGCCAAGAAAATTCTTATAGTAAAGAACGCCGTTATTGAGTTTAAGGTACAGCTGGAAAATAACATTTTGGTAAAACATTGCTTTACCTACACATGTTATTTTCTGGTACATTATAAAGTATGAAGGCATGTGTTCATTTCCTTGCTTTTTTCAGGAAAGTATCATTACATTGTCTTCTGACTTTTAGTATATCTGGTAAGAGGTCAATGGGAACTCCAGAAAATTCTGATCTTTCATACTTTCTATTTTTCCAAATTTTCTTTCAAAGTTTCCAGACAACATAGGAGCTACCATTGACCTGTTTCCAGGTTTACTAAAATTAGACAATGTTATGTGCATGACCAATGTATGACCTTCGTATTTTTTCGAGTGAAATTCACTGGATAGTGGATAATCTTGTTAATCTGTCGCGAACTACTTTTAGCTGGATAACGGCAGCGGAGCTCACTATAAAAATGTTTTTGAGCTAGTGCCTTACGGTAATGCCGGGTTTTCGGCAGTGGCAGTAGATACTCTCAATTGCCGGCAATAAAATCCATTGCCGATAATTGTAACGCTGCTGTAACATGATGATTGGCATTGCGATTCATTGTCAAATTTACGCAAACATTGTTTGTTTAGAATGTTTTATCATGTATATTTCAATCTCCACATTTGAAGAGCTAATCTGTCAATCAACTGCACAGCACTCGTAAAAGGCGGGAGGATAAGCAAAAACCCACCCACTTCTGTCAATCATCTCCCAGGCCACGAGATTTACAAATCACGTGACATGAGATTTCGGCGAAGTAAAAAACAAACACAGTTTGATCAATTTTGATCAAATTCACACTTTATTATCGTTTCAAAGACTCCCTAACAATACACAATCACACACGAGATACACAATGACACAATATATCCACTGCAGTTGATGTAAGCGGGAAAGCAAGCTGAGAAATCGCCTTCGTTAAAGCGGCTCTAAGGTCTGTGGAGAGAAAAATGGAGAAATTTTACCTTTTCTGAGCTATCGGGGCGAAGTTTGGTCTAACATCTTCTTCCTTATTTCTATTTTATAAAAATGTATGCATATGGCAATATTCATCAACCAGTAGAACTGGCAAATCGTTTAGAATCTACGATTCCATACAAGGAGTCCCACTCATAGATTTTTCAAATTTTTTCCAAGTCGACGTCGAAACACCTAGCGGGTGAAATTGAAACTAATTTTTCTGGCCGCTCGAATCGATAAAATCTCTGACAGTGTGAGTCTTTTTATGAAACCTTTCTTCTAGAAAACACTTGACGATTATTAAAAAGCATTAAAAGTTGAAACCGAAGCGTAATTTGAAATAATAGTGAAAAAAAATTGCGCGGACGACAGAGAACAAACTTCTGGTTTAATAAAAAATGGCGGACACGAAAGGAGAAAGGAAGACAAAAAATTGGAGGATTTTCCTTTGCCATTATCGATCGATATAAGGTATGTGCACAAATTCTAGTTGCATACATGGAAAATAGATACATTTTTGAAGGCAACAACATATTCAAAGCTTTCATTTTACGATAGGCCCAGGATCATTGGATACGACTCGGCAGTCGATATTCCCACTTTAAGGATTTTCCAAATATTTTAGTTTCACTTTCAGATTTTTACCCAGGATTTTAGAAACATTATCAGTATCAACGATTATATTTTTGTTTAGTGTCAAAACAAAAAGTATACACCCAACAAATGTAATGACATAATATCAACCTGCGCCGGATTTGTTGACAGAAAAGCACTTTGAATTATGGGAATGAAGTACTTCCTTTGATGAAAAACCGAACCTAGTAAAAACTGACATAGACATGACATAGACATAGACAGAATCTCGCGAAGATTGCCCCGACTCCCAACTTTGACTTTTGTTGAAAACGTCGAAATCAATTTATTTATGTTCAAATGCAAACTTAGCATATTTCAACGAATATGGAACAACTTGTGCAATATACTTTGAGTAAACATTACATAAATTATATAAAGTTGCAAGTGTTGCGGCTATTTACTCACCCAGTGAGGTAAACTGACCGAAAAACTGGAGAACTTCTCGACAAAATTCGAGTGAGATTGGAAGCCATCTTGAAACTGCTACGTTAGACTTCCGAACGCAGAAATTAATGCAATGTTTATGACGTTCGCATTAATCAAATGAAATGAACAGTTTGTTATGTCAAGGTGCACATGTCAATCTGCGCGCCTACTTAGGCACATTACATTACATTATTCGAGTTAGAGTCTGGATTTTGAAATCTAATTTTAAGACATAGGCTATGATACTGCAATGTTTTCATGTTTAATGCGTTCATTCTGTGGCGTATGCCAGTAAGAATCTTGCAAAAATTGCAAAAAACTATGTGAAAATGAATCATAGATCCCGGCCAGATTCTTTTGTAGTAGGATTCAGTAGCTCAATAAACATTCCTTGAGCCTAGATCCAGTACAAAAACGAAAGACTTACATTTAAATTTCATATGGTCCAATGCATTGATTATTTTTCATTTGACACCAACAACAGCTCAACGGACCACATCAAACTCGATCAAAGCTTACAATAAATTATCAAAAAATATTTTCGATCTTTCAAGCTTTATGTATCAAATTTTTATCTATTTCTTTTTTAACGGCGCATTTCTTAAATTTGTTTTGCCAAAATCTGGAGGGGGTGTCATTATTTGAGGAGCTTTAGGAGAATCACTGGGAATATTGTTTTCTCTGGCAAGTTTTGCGGACTTCTTCTTGTAAATGAAGAGGAAGTGGCGCTTACGTTTTCTGAAAGTACAAAAAAAGCTTGGAAAGGCACGCAGTTTGGAAATATTAGGCACACGCTTGGGAAATACATGTGAAATAGGCACGCAGTTTGACAGGAAAAGGTTTAAATCTAAATTTAACCCCGGCTACGATCATCTGGACATAGTTTTCGCTATCACATAGCAGAATCATATAACCGAATGGACATATGAAAATATGAATCATTGTAGAGTAAATGTCCTAAAATGACGTTTGAAAACACAGACTCCAACTGTAACATTTAACGGGAATTAAACGTTAATAAAATAATGTTCACCGCTTCAGTCCATAATAGCAAACATAAAATATGTGTAGATGACACAACTTCTAAGTTTATTCCATCTTCCTAGCTACATTTTGCATAATCTTTATTTCATCTCAAGCACTGTTATATGATAATAACATTTTCCTTCATGATTATAACGTTGTCCTAAGAAGCTTGTGTGATATTTTTAAAGCTAAAAGTTATCCTATTCAAAATCACATCTTCATGATGATTATATTGTCCTGAGAAGTTTGTATGATTTTCTTTTAAGCTAAAAGCTATTCTCTCAAAATCACATCTTTCTGATTATAACATTGTCTTAAGAGCTTGTGTGATATTCTTAAAAGCTAATAGCTATCCTGTTATTTAAAAGTCATACATCAGTATATATACAGTTCTTGGAGTTCTTGGAATAAGGGCGGATCTCAATTTAAATAGGTTGATCTGATTGGATAGAGATTTTTGGGGACAGTTTAATTTATGGGGCACTACCCTTGCCTCTCCTGTAAACACGTGTCTGCATTGGCAAACAAAGGAATGTGTACAGTGATCACTTTAATTGCTGCAGTGAGGGGGGGGGTGAATATAATCTATTCCTGTGGTCAGAAATAAATGTTTCTCCAGGAACTGTCGATACACATCAGATCAAAGTTAGTTACAACATCTAATTACATTCACATGGTTAATAAACAATGCATATTCAAGCATTTAAAAATACATATTTAATTGCACTAAACTACATCCATCATAAAATATTCTTTGTCTGTGGGTGGGATGATTTCACCAAGGAGAGAATTCTCACAGATGTACATGTGCACCTTGGGACAATAGCAGTATAATTGTCATCCAATAAACAAAGGCTTTATAATTAAATATTTCGGAGTGGCATCCGAACCGATAAAATTGATAGTGAACAAAATATGAAATGTCAGCCTCGTTTGATTTGTGGCAATTAATAAATTCGAGTGAAAGAGTAAATCTGAACAACATGCTACTGAGCGTGTGAATTTGATATTCAGCTCTGTTTTACAAACATTAGAATCTTTATGACAAAGGGCTATAATGGTCAGAGCATTGAATTCAGATCTGCATGCAATGATTTATGAACTGGGAATTTCAAAGAATTTTATGAAACCAACACTTGTATTTGACTTCACTAAAATAGTGAAGATTTAATTATGACCAAGTCCAAATATTTTTGATTTCCCTAAAATATGAATATAAAACAGAAATAGTGCATTTCTGTTACACTGCTCCCCCCTTGGTTTGATCGTCCCGATCAAAAACATAAACTGTACAATGTTCTTAAACATAAAAAACCTACCACCATTACAACATACAAGATACAAGTGCATTTAAAGACAAATGTTCACCAGTGTCTCACCGACCCTTAAAGTGTGCGCCTGACCCGGCTACGTATAGCACAGAGTTTATGCTGGCGGATTAGACTAGTTCATTTTTTATATGTGTGTGAAAGCTTTCTCTTATTTGCGTTTTTTCGCCGAGGTCATATAACCGGGATAAAACAATGATTATCGTTGACTGCCCACACACAAAACATACGTTGAATGAACAGTGTTATTACAAACAACAGGCTTTAGAATACAAAGCGTAGTGTGATAATAAGCTGTACACTACCACTGCTGCATGTACATATTACTAATTTACTAGGGCTCCCAAAGAGTGGATAGGGAGGTTGTGTTTGTCACTTTTAAATTTTACATTTCAAAATTGTCATTTTACATGTCATAATTTGTTGGTTTCATTCGTTTAGCCAATCAAAACATTGTAAAACAATAAATTGTCTGTTACGTACAATCAATTTTGTTCAGTTTTGATTAGTTGTCAGAATAAAGTTACGTTCATCTGAATCCATGTATCAAAACAAAAATCCTATTTTCACTTCAAAATACTTCAGTGAGATGAAGGCTCGGAATTGTCACATGCAATAACTTATTGTCGTATTCGTTATTTTATCTTCTCGATAGTAGCATTTAGTCGCACATTTGATGCCAGGTCACCTTGTCGCGTACCTCTTGGGGAACCCCATATTTATGTGTGTACTCATGGAAGTAAATTCCCCGGTGTAGCCGAGAGCCACAAACTTTTCAACAGGTTCGAAATGACCAATTTCTCTCATATATACTCTAAATATTTTATTATTTAGCACCTACAAAGTATTGCTAATAGTCATATGTAATTTCAATAAGGAAACTTATCTGGCTACATATAAATTCAATATCAACACTAGCTGTTCTCTCAACACGTCCTGGCTTACCTTGTGGTGACAAACCCTGGATTTTCGCTATTTATAGTTTATCAACACCTGGACGCATGCGCATTTTATAGTTTATCGGGCACTTTAAGGTGGTTGGAAGGCAGGTGGATAATGATATCCATGGTTTGATTCAAGTATCGAAATATTGGCTGCATCATTTGCCAATACTTACGTTTTGATAAGTCTATGTGAACACTTCCTACTACGCAATCAGTTATCAATAAAGGGGTATACTCTGTACTCCATACATTATAACTTCAATGTTAGTTGAGGGTACTGTTATCTGATTATCAAAACAATATCCTACATGAAGTTTTGATATATTTTTGGGTCCATCATACTTTATATAAGCTGACCCCTGACCCTCAGGCTCAGCTACTGCTCGTTTCCCGACCTCCAATTCTGATTCAAATTTCTTGGTGATGAGCCCCCTATAATGGGCTTTGGACACTCTGCTATAACATGCCCATACCGGGTACAGTTAAAACATTTAATACGATGATTATGAGGTTTGGGATAATCATATGCGAAGGCTGCTAAATTACTCTGCGTTGGAATAGGATCAGATTTTGGGAGATGTCTTTCATCAGTATATGAGGCAAGATGCTCCATTGCTTGACAAAATGTATGTTTAAGTTCTTTGAATTCTTGTACTATTTGGCCCATCTGGGTATCAATAATAGGATCTTCTTGCGCCTGCATGCTTTCTGGGCCTTTTTGATGATCATTGGTTCCATAATCTGACTCATATTCCAATCCAACGCCTACTGCTTCATCTATATCACGGGGGTTCCGATTCTTGATGTATTTCCTCATATCTGTGTCCTCAAGGGCATTATAAAATTGATTTAACGCTATATCCATACGTAGTTCATATGGCCACTTCGAGTAGGCCCTGTTCGATAACCTTTTGATATCCTGCCCCAGTTGTGATAATGTTTCATCAGGATTCTTCCTTCTGGCCTCTAGTAAATTAAGGAAGGTGTCGCCTTGGCTTGCTGGGTCAAAACGCTGTTCCAAATGATGTACAATTGATTCAAAATCCTCACGTTCATTACCAGGCATATCAGTGAGTACAGATAATGCATCACCCTTAACAGCACAACTCAGTTCTAAGGCCATTTCATCATAGCTCCAACCATTTGCCTTGCTCACAACCATAAAGTGAGTTTTGTAGTCAAGCCAGTCTCCACTGCCATCATAGCGGTCAACAGGCCTAACAGATTGATTTTTGAAAATTCTTCTTTTAGCGTCTGAAAGTTTATTAACAAGTTCTGCATTCTCCAGAACTAATCTAGCTATTTCAAAGTCTTTCGATTTAATAATCCGCTCCAAATCCATTTGATATTTTAAGAATTTAATTTTGTCTATGTTTCTTTCAAATGTTCTTATTCATAGAAAATACTATAATATTGTCCTCATTTGTTATTGTTCAGGTCATTCAGAGACCTAAAATGTTTATGTGAATGTAATTCATTTGAAAAGTCATTGAACTGTTGTCCATGTGGTCAACTGGTCAAATTCATTCATAAAGTTTTGCGTCAGTGGTTTTGTAAAGGTGCATAAATAGAGACTTCTCTCGTGTAGTGTATTGAAGAATCCATATAACTCACACATCATTGTCTGAAGTATCATAACAGAATATTTAATGGTCCTTTGTTTGATGCCTTTCTCACATAAAATCGTCAGGTAAGAGAATAGAAAAGTATATTCCATTCTTTCCGGCCCGGACGCACCAATGTAACATTTAACGGGAATT